TATTCCATATCTGATCCATAGTATTCCACGTCAGACGTTACTCCATATCTGATGCATGCTATTTCAAGTCAGTCGTTATTCCATATCTGATCCATAGTATTCCACGTCAGATGTTATTACATGTCTGATGCATGCTATTTCAAGTCAGTCGTTATTCCATATCTGATGCATGCTATTCCACGTCAGACGTTTCTCCATATCTGATGCATGCTATTTCAAGTCAGTCGTTATTCCATATCTGATCCATAGTATTCCACGTCAGATGTTATTACATGTCTGATGCATGCTATTTCAAGTCAGTCGTTATTCCATATCTGATCCATAGTATTCCATGTCAGACGTTACTCCATATCTGATGCATGCTATTTCAAGTCAGTCGTTATTCCATATCTGATCCATAGTATTCCATGTCAGATGTTATTACATGTCTGACGCATGCTATTTCAAGTCAGTCGTTATTCCATATCTGATCCATAGTATTCCACGTCAGATGTTATTACATGTCTGATGCATGCTATTTCAAGTCAGTCGTTATTCCATATCTGATCCATAGTATTCCACGTCAGACGTTATTACATGTCTGATGCATAGTATTCCACATCTGAGGTGTGTTTCTCCCCTGCTAACATTACTCCATGTTTGATGCTAGTTGTATCATGTCTGATGTGTGTGTAATATATTCCACGCCTGTTATTATTACCTATCTGATCATACTCTGTTTCCAGATTGTGACATTTGCAGAGATGATGACCGACACATCCAAGCAGTGGTTCAGTGTTCCACATGTCAGCTCACATTCTGCCAGCCCTGCCTTCGTGTCCACAAAATGATCCCTACATGCAGAGAACATTATGTGAAAAGAATAGCCAGTATCCCTCCTATCAAGTATGAATGTTACAATTTTAACATCAGCCTGGAAACAAATTCATCATCAAGTCGAAGAAAGAAGATGTCCCAAAGAGTGAAAGAAGAAATCAGCTCCAAAATTGATGTCATTTGTAAGAGAGGCGAGGAGGACATCAGGAACAAGGAGAAGCAGTTGACAGCAGATACTGATGCTGTTGTTGATGAAGTGTTTGAGAAATTTGACTCTTTGTATCGAGTACTCAGTGCTGAGGAAAGGAGTGATCACAGCTCATCTGACGATTCGAATGAAGAGGATGGCAAGAAAGTAGTAGCCACAATCAAGCTGTCCTCAAAGGTTGAGTCATTTATCAACAGTGGTTACAGAGATTCACTGGCATCTGCAAGGGCAACATTAGACTTCAAGGAAACAGAAGACCTGGGATTCGCCCCCTCTGATTCTGATGATCCTGGGATGGAGACCATAAAGGTAAATATGGATGATCTGGAAGACTCCGGGTCTGATGAAGAGGATGAGATGGAAGAGTTCTCCCGTTCCAATGTGGGAGTCACTGATTGTAAGTTGGGAGATGACGATGATCCTTGGATAAAGAGCATTCTTGTAATGACATCCTGCAGTGTGGAAACTATTGTTGTGGCGGATGGGAACAACAGATGTGTCAAATCCTTCTACACTGACGTAGGTGGACCTTGTCATAGCCGCTTAAAGCTGTCTGGTCAGCCATGGGGACTCACAGAACTTATAAATGAAAGGATCTTTGTTACTTGTCCAGATGAAAAGTCTATCCTCACAGTTAGGGTTAGACCTGATCTTAAGACTTTGGAGAAGATTAAAGTGGGAAAGAAATTGTTCAGTGTTGCCACCGTGGATCCGGACACAGTTATAGCTTGTGCTCGAGACGAGCACCCCCCGGCCTTACACATCATGAACCTGAAGGGAACCATCCTGAAAACCATTTCCAAGGTCATGAAAGAAAACCTTTTCAAATCTCCAACATGCATCACCACGTCACCAAGGGGATATTATTTGGTTGCTGAAAAAAAAGGGCAGGTCCTGTCTATAACAAAAGAGGGGTTCGTTTGTAAGAGAGAGGATATAGAGCTTGAGACATCACTACAGTGGATAACATGTAGCCGTGATGATGGCAAGGTGTATATAGTTGACACAGAAGGAAGCAACATTGTGTGGGTCAGGGAAGGAGGAGATAACATGACTGTCCTCACAGGAGAACATCGCATACTGTTCCCAGTCTGTGTCTGTCGATACAGGGATGCCATGTTTGTGGTAGACAAAATGGGGAAGATCAAGAAGTTTCAACTCACCACAGAAAATTGACATGAGTTACATACCTCCACAGGTAATGTATCCCCTGAAGAAACATTCAAAACCAATGGTATACAAAGAAATCAGAAGAGGTTTACATAAACTGATGTTTCTTCCAATGTGAAGCTGAATGATGCCAAACCCATAAGTGAATATGATGAGTGCTTCATACTGCATCAGCAATGGCCATATTTCAGGACATATTTATTGTTGGCTTACACAGCCATGTGTAGTGACAGTTACTGATGGTTAATGCCATAGTATTTATTTCAATGGGGTGATGATGGCCTGTAAGTATAAACATGCTCTGACCAGAAGAACAAGTGAATTATACTGGATTATAGTCTGTCATACAGATATACTTATACATATAAGAGCTATGCATAAGGAAGGAGCTTTTATACATGACTTACCAAAACGGCAGGCGTTCAGTAAAATCCATTTTTGCCTTACTTGATATTGATTATGAATTTAGATGTTCTAGAAATAATGAAAAAGCTGAAGTGTTTTTGCAGTGTTCTTGTAGTGTTAAAAAAATAAATAACATATCCATCATATATCTTTGTATTTATTCTTTGCCTATGATAACAATATTCACATAAATTCATAATTTTGTAAAATAATTTGTAATGGTTTATCAAAACAGTTTTGGTTTAAAAGTTTTACAGACCAAAACATGTCTTAACTTAACAATTAACAGTAGGCCTTCAATATTTTGACATGTATATTTTACAACACAGAACTTTCTGAATTTCTCAACACAACAAGCATGAAAATAACAGTAAATGCCCCTGCAAACCAAATCATTACTTCAAATAAATGCATAAGTAGTAGCAGCTACTCCATAGTGATATAATTAAAATAATGCATCACAACATTATTATGCCACAAGTTTAGTAGTAGTTAATGACAGTTCTAGGAAATTAAAGGGGAACTACACTTAGGTAAATAGGCATCCCTGCCAATTTGATTAGTCCTTTAAACATCAATACAAGTTCACATTTTATGGTGTGTACCCATTTAGCAGTTTCTGATTAACCAAATTCGAGAGATAGTGATTTGTTTCACCCATTATTACAATGTCCTGAAAATGACAGAGTATAGTACCCCTTTAATAATGGGGCAAGGCTATGGTCAACACTGCTTGACAGCTGACATTAGTATGAAGCAAAACAGACCAAGTGACTGGAGGAAGAACTACCATCTTGTTTCCTTGACTTGATAGTCACCTGAATCCTTGTACACCATATTTTCAAGAAAATAACCAAACAACCAAAGAATTATCCTATTTCAAAACATTGAGAAACATGAAACTAAGAAAGCATATAGTGGTCTCCTGAGTTTCTGTCCCCAACTTACATACTAACCTAACAATAACAATATATACATGCAAATTTCTGTAATTATAAGTGATAAACCGTTGCTATTCACATGAATAACCAAACACTAAACATTTTTCTTTGAGAGGCATTTTAGAAGTTGTGAAGATGAAGGAAAACTAAGTTCTATGGTTAGTCAACTTCTTTATTGCAATGAGTGCGACGTTACGGTGTAGGTACTAACACTGTTATCAAGCAAGTGATGTTAGTACCTACACCGAAACGTCGCACTCAATGCAATAAAGAAGTTGACTATCCATAGAACTTAGTTTTCCTTCAAACACTAAACAACTTGTAATGTCTATTAAAAATGACAAATGATGTGTGAACAAACTAATGGCGGCAGATTGATGAAGTATCAGGTTGACTAGAGTGAGTGAGTGAGTTCAGTTCAACAAAGCTCATGCAGAGAATACACAATGCCCTTCAGTAAGAAGACAAATTGATATGTTATATTTCGAATCCAAACTATATTTCAATCCCCATTAGTACTAGAATCTGTACTTTACTGAGAAAGTGTAATCCCGAACATGAAACATATGTCATATCATGTCATGGCACACAGGGCTTTAAGCATGTACACGTGTGGGGAGTTAAACTCAAGCCATACAGAGCCACCCACTGTCCTACGCTGACTAGACATGTTAGTACGTAACCAGTAAAATACAGAGGTGTTTCAGCCCACACCAGGGCCCCATTTCACAAAGCGATCATAACACTTAGGTGATCGTAACTCCCATACTTTAACATAGATTTACGATAGTAGTAGTGCTTGGAGCGATTTGTTAAACGGGCCCCAGTACTGCCGCTGTCCTCCTGACAACAAAAATAACTCAACACAGGTTGTCGGCAAGCTAAAATTATCATAAAAATCTTAAAAGTCTGTTAATGTGTCCGGAAAAAGTGATACAAAAATATTTCAACTCCCTTTAAACATGTAAAGAAATTACAAAAGACAATATTCTGTTTAAATCTGATCCCTTAAACACACACAAAATCATCATGTTTTATTTTAAGGGAAATTAAACTAAAGTAATATCCAATCAATACATGTGTACAATGGGCCTTGAGATTGAGTGAGTGAGTGAGTCAGTTGCACACTCAGCAATATTCCAGCGATATGGCGGCGGTCTGTAAATAAATCAGTCTGGACCAGACAATCCAGGGATCAACAGGTTTTGAGACTGAGTCAAGAAACAGCATCCACTGCCAAGACAACATATACGTTTTGTGCAAATTTGTATCATCTTTGTAAAGAGAAAGCAATTCCGAATGGGTGACGATTGTTGATTATAATCTTGTTAAAGGGATAGTACAAGGTACTTAAAATATTTGGCTTATCTACAATGACATACAGTACTTCTCCCCTCTGTATCCATTCTTTTACTTTTGGCCATAGTGTGCTCAATCCACAATATAACAGTGAAGAATGGTTTGGTAGAATAAATATATTTAAATAAATGATAACTTCATTGCTTAGCAAACTGAAATTGAATAGCTATCGTCAAAAGTAAGATCACAAGGCTTCAATTCTAATTTCTGGACAACAGGATCCATTCTGATAGGTGGACATGAAGTTTTAAAAACGATGGGTGCAAAAACTTTCATGACATCTAAAAAAGCAAAGATGTTTTCCTGACATCACAAATAGTATTTAGGTTTTCTGGAAAAGCTGCAAATAGGCAACAGATATGTATTTATAATAAGTCAGAAAATGCAAAGGACAGTAAACAGCAAAATAAGGTATCAGTAAAAGATTAAACAAAGTAAAAGAACTGCTAATCACATTCTAAAATACAATATATACAAACAGAAGTTAACCACGGAACACTAACACCAACATGTGTGAACAACTTGCTACTAACTCAACTCTCTCTACAATCCTGCAGTCAGCAACAGTTATTCGGATGCTTCAAGTTCCTTCAGTGAGTTAGAATAGTATTTTTCAGTGATATTACTGTAATATCTGAGAAAAGACCACTGTGATCCAGGTCACAGATGCATATCCCTCAGAAGAATCCAAAGGGCACACGATGCTGGCAAAGAACTGACACTATGGATGACTAATCTGGTGAGTGAGTATGGTTTTATGCCACTTTTAGCAATATTTCCACCACAAATAGGCTTCATACATTGTACCCATCTGGGGAATCAAACCAGGGTCTTTGACGGGACGAGCGAACGCTTTAACCACTAGGCTACACCACCGTCCCTAATCTGGTACTTCAACCATGGCAAAGGGGACACAACTCTGCTGAGCAATGTCAACGCACGAAGCTGTTTGAGTGAAGAATTACATAACTGCGTCAGACACCTGCACATACCACTGAACTTAAAGATTTTTGCAATGTACTTGCAAATAATGTACAACTAGGTAAGCAGTCATGAACTGAAAGTCCACTGGGTGGGTGGGGACGTAGGGAAGGTACAGTACATCATTGATGTCATGACATGACAGTTTGTGGATCGGGAGACCAAAGTGGTGCACATTAGCAAAATTGGGATAAAAAAAGGACAGGTGTACTTAGGTGTTTGTATTGGTGGGAAAAGTCTTGAGGGGTGTATGGTGACCAATGTTTGTTCCCAGTTATTTGACATCTGTGGAGATGGGCGAATCAAACAAGGGGAGATAACTTTGGCTAGCCTCACATTTACCTCCTCACAGACATACAAGATGTATCATACACAGAATTAAATAAATTCATAGTGGGTGCGCGTGTGTGCATGTTAGTGTCAGAGAGAGTGATATTTCTTGAAACAATCTATTCTGACTGGATAAGACTGAAAGTGTGACTTGATAGCTGATGAATTAATAGTGAGCCAGTCTGGATTAGGAAGAGTTTTCTGCAAGACTTTTCTTCAGTTGACAAATACTTCATGTACACTTTGCTTGATCTGTCCGCAAATATGGTCCCTTAACACTTGGTTCATACCTGGTAGATATCTCAATATACTAAAGGTATATGGCCTTGAAATGTAAACACTCAATGCATCTCCTAAACCCTACTATCTTAATCATCACCATTCTACGACATCCATTGTTTATTTCTTAATTCTTCACAAACTTAATATAAGTGAATTATTTTGGTTCTGTAACCAACAAATGATAGAGGCAACTAATTCACCCATCTGTTTGTTATACTGCCGCTGTGACAAAATGGAGTTGACGGTGATACTGCGATTGACACAGCGCTACAACACTGATGAACAGGTTGAGTGAGTGAGTGAGTTGGGGTTTACGCCTTTTTTAGCAATATTCCAGCAATATCACGGCGGGGGACACCAGAAATGGACTTCACGCATTGTGCCCATGTGGGGATTCGAACTCGGGTCGTCAGCGTGACGAGTCGACATTTAACTATTAGGCTACCCCACCGCACCAATGAACAGGTTGAAGCAAGGAGGTTTGCAAGAGAAAGACAAAAACAGTTATCCCATATTATTTAATATCAGGGTCAAACTTCACATTTAGCAAACAAACAAATTCTTGGTCTTAAAATATGAAAGGCCTTGTTTCATATCTGACATACATGTCCAAACTCACATTCTGCTGCTTACGATCAGTGCTTCTGTATGTTCATACCCACAATGCCTTGATACACCAAATTAATGATGTCTAGTCATGTTATCATTAAAACATTCAAGTGCTGTAAGTGATGCTGTGCTATGGCTTCACAATATCATGGGTAGTTACCAAGGAGAGACGATGTCATGACAGTGCAAGTTACCATGGTTACTTGATGCAAGCTGGGAAGATGGTCACAACATAAAAGGGGAGATAACTATCCAGTTAGTAGTGCTATTACCTTATCACAGACATGCAAGACATAGAATTATCAATCCATCATAATGTACAACTCAGATAGAAATCTTAGATCTAAAGTACCCATTCACAGCATGGAATATTTTACAGTACCCAAAGCAGGAATTGCTGTCTGGTAGGTGTTTTTCAATTTGCTGCTATCCCAAATTCGTGGGTTCCCTCAGGGATTGATCTGCTCAGAGATATTAAAGCCTCAAGTGTTTACCCCAAAGCAGAAAATGAGCAAATTTTTCAATTTTGTCAATTCCCGTTGACATTGACATAACATGTGAAGTCAGGTGGAAGTTCACTGACCAAATAGCAAGTAAGTGGAAGGGGTATTATTGTAAAGATTGCAACACTGAAATACCTACCGGTACATATCTAAGGAGTAACAAAGAATATCCTAAACTGGAAAACGAAATGCTGTGGGAACTTAGCTTGGAAACCTAGATAAATCCCTGTCACAATTCATATTAGGGGTGTCTGATGTATCGATGGATCTCAAACTGATATTTGATACAATGCATGATACGCCTACCCGTCTGTCAATTCATGTCTGAATTCTGTATTGATTTCAAAAAGCTAAAATTACGAAATTTTGCAATAAGCAAGCCTGATACAATGTTACCTTCCCACCTGCCAAAAGCAGAATGCTAAATCTAAGAAGAGTTAAACACAATCTGGTTGATAGCAACAAGCTCTCAGCCGGCCCCCATGGTGCATGGATTGACACTAATTAGGTTTTACAATATGAATGTGTAAGGTAGATGTTTGTCGCGGAAACCTCTAATATGAATACCAAACTGTAACTGTCTACAAAACATAATTCTTGATAAAGAGAAGGCCAGAGTCATATGGTATAATTACATATTAACATGAGATGATGATCATTGTATATTAAACCGACACAGTGTTAAATAACCTTGTAAATAACATTCTTACAAAGATGCTGACGTAACCATGTACTAACACAGCTTATACAACAGTCATATTTCCCCAATAAAACAAACAATGTGTCAAAATTTGATGAAGTAGAACCTTTAGCATTCATAATGATGTCATATCCAGGTTTCTTTAGCTCAATGTCTTTGCTACCAGCCCAGAACATGTATTACTTCATCAAATCCTAATCATTGTGAACTTATTTATCTTTCTTTCCCTCAGTGTTGTCTTCTTCTGAATCTTCTTCATCGTCAAAGTCATTATCTTCATCATCAATCTCGTCGTCATTTTCATCCTGAATTTCTTCATTTCCTGTTCCAGCGATTTCTTCTTCAGTAAGTTCATTCTTATCCACAAGTTCGAATTCCCCATTTTCACTTTTATCACTCCCAGAATTTTCATCCTTTTCAATTTCTTCCTTTTTGGCTTCCTCAGCGTTTTCTTCTTTTCCTTTCTCCTTCTCTTCCTTGGATTGTTTGTCCTTCGTCTTGTCTGCTTTTGAGTCCTTGCCAAAGTAATCATGTTTATAAAGAGGTTTGAAGGAGTCAAAGAAACCAACGTCTTCTGTCAAATTTGGTAGGAACCAGAAGTGATGTTTTCCAAGTGATGCAACCCACGCCAGGCAGAATAATACAAGGCGAACTGAAACCCCAAAACAGAATGATGTAAGTATAACATTGGCAATAATATTCTGGTGTTGACTAACTAACCCTTTGGGGTTTTTATCCAAAGGACATGACCATTGTCAGTCAGTGAATCCCCCATTGCTGTGCACACAAGCCTTTACGCTGGCATAAATACCTTGTAACACAAATAACATTTTCCCATCTTATCCCGCCCGTCTTTAACATAACCATAACTTTTGTCGAATCAAAGGCGTTTTTAAAGTCAATAAATGCAACATATATTTTACGTTTCCTTCTTATTAAGTACTTTTGCACAATTGCATACAATGTAAAAATATGGTCAGACGTAGAATAATCGTTCCTGAAGCCAGCTTGTGTTTCAGGGATTATATTTCTAATATTTGCCCACATGTTTAATCTTTTGTTGAGGATAAATGTAATTAATTTACCAATACTACTCGTCAAACATATGCCTCTGTAATTATTAAGTGCTTGCTTCCTTTGTTCAATTTCCATCAAATCAGTACTAATTAAGTGCTGCCTTCCTTTGTTCAGTTTCCATTAAATCAGTACTAAATAATTAAGTGCTGGCTTCATTTCTAAAGTTTCCATCCAATCAGTATTAATAAAGTGCTCGCTTCCCTTGTAAAGTTTCCATCTTTGTCAACTTATTTCTCTTGTTTCCATGAACATATTCGAGCTCTATGCATCCTGACATCCATTCACCTGATGAGAGTGAGCATACACTTTCTTCCTTATAATAAAAACGTCGACAGCCATAAACACTCTACCTCAATCTCTGCGTTATTCAATAAGTCAACAGGTATCGTCATTAACAATTAACGATAATGCTTGGTCCATACGCGATACGAGCCCTTTAGCCCTTTTAGGAATATTCCAGCAAAAACACACCATGGACATTAGAACCTCACATTTTACCCATGTGGAGATTCGAACCTGGGGCTTCGGTGTGTCAGATGGGTACTTTGACCACAAGGCTACCACAAGATAGCATCTACTCTCCGTAATGCACACAAGATGGCATCTACCAGACGCTAGTGCGTTTGATATTAGGCGTTCTTTGGATAAGTAACTGACATGGAATGCTGGATTAAAGCTCAACAGTTCTTGTAAGAAAAACTAAAAGGGTTCCCCGTGTCTTAGCTGCAGTTACCCCCTCCTCCGTTCCTTGTTTGTCAACATTTTTTACAGATATCATTATTTGGCGACGGGGATCTCCTGAATGTAGTGATTGTTTGAGTGATTGTTTGAGTGATTGTGATTGTTTGAGTGAGTGAGTGAGTGAGTGAGTGAGTGTGAGTGAGTGAGTGAGTGAGTGAGTGAGTGAGTGAGTGAGTGAGTGAGTGAGTTATGTTCGCGCCGTCTTCCACAGTCTTCCGCAGCTTTTTGTGGAATGGCATGATGCTGGTCTCAGACTAGACAAACACATGTACATAGAAACAAATAACTCTGAATTGAAAAAGAGGCAGTGTGAGATCGGAGATGCAGGTTTGGGCGGAACGGAAAATATTATAGCTCCGGGAATGTATGACAGATTAGTAACGGGCGTTTTGGTCTTTGACGAAACCCACGACCTTTGACGGTGGGAACGGTGGGAACACCAGAACTGGGCTTCACACATTGTACCCATGTACTCATTTTTCATTTCAAAGGTTGATACCATTCGACAAGGACTTTCAGCCGAGGAAGTTGATATGTGTTTCAGTGAACCTCTCTTCACAGGCGATCCACCTCTCTTCACAGGCGATCCGCTAACACAGTTTGCGCCCTTCACCGTATGTCACCGGACGCAACTTGCGCTCAAACACACAAAATCGACTGGTCATCCCATCCTACAAACTGAAATCCTTTGGACACTGATCATTCTCTTACTCTGCACCTGTACGTTGGAACTCTCTCCCATGTGCCCTTAAAAGCTCTGACACAATTGACATTTTTAAGTCCAGACTCAGTATATTATGTGTAACTTCATCTGTAAATACTCCAGTGTAAATATTCTGTAGCGCTTTGAGCCTGCCTTAGGGTGTGGAAGGGGCGCATTATAAATATGCATTTATTATTATATTATGTGGGGAATCGAACCTGGGTCTTCGGCGTGACGAGCGAACGCTTTAAGCACTAGGCTACCCCACCGGCCCGGATGGAAGGATGGATGGATGGATGCATGTGTGTATGTAAGTACCTATGAGTGTATGTGTCAGAATCATCACTCAGGTCATCTTGAATCAGTTGAAGTAAAATACTATACGCTGTACTCAGGGGTCCTCGGGAAACAATGATCTACGGACCAGAGTAGCGTTAACGTGGATTGCTGTAGATTTGACAAGCAAGTGAGTGAGTGAGTTTAGTTTTACGCCGCACTCTGCAATATTCCAGCGATATGGCGGCGGTCTGTAAATAATCGAGTCTGGACCAGACAATCCAGTAATCAACAGCATGAGCATCGATCTGTGCAATTGGGAACCGATGGCATGTGTCAACCAAGTCGGCGAGCCTGACCACCCGATCCCGTTAGTCGCCTCTTACGACAAGCATGGGTTACTGAAGATCCATTCTAACCCGGACCTTCACGGGTCGATAAGCAAGCATGTGTGAAAGAGGATAGGGGTACATATCATTAATGTATGCCATTAATTTTGTCATTAACAGTTGTCAGAGGAGGTACGGATGCTCAGTTGCGTCCCCCAGGTACTGGGTTCGAATCCCAGATCAGATTGTGTTTAAGAAATACAGTTCGCTCTACCACCATGTATAGTGTAATAAAACACACTTTCGCCCTGAACTATTATAGTTAAAGTACGAGGACGCTTAAGGTAAGACATGCTATAGCCGCGTTTGTGGTTTCATCCCCGATGGTAGAGGTCACTGACAAGTATTGTTTCGGTCTACCATATCAGCTGTAATTGACTGTATACGGTCCAAGGCAGCGTTTCTTATACCATTACCTCACGTTTTTCAGTCTTCAGTTTATTGGCAGTTTAGTGCTATTTTTATATATCATATAGTATATATATTTTTTTATATATATATATATTTATTTTTTTTCAAATTCACATATGCGCCATTAAAATATGTACAAGTTCAGTCAACCGCAGATATAACTTATAACGTAGTCAGATATTACGACTGACTGACTGAGTTTGGTTTTACGCCGCTTTTAGCAATATTCCAGCAATATCACGGCGGGGGACACCAGAAATGGGCTTCACTCATTGTACCCATGTGGGGATTCGAACCCGGGTCTTCGGCGTGACGAGCCAACGCTTTAACCACTAGACTACCCCACCGCCCCCAGATATTACGAACAATTAAAGTGGAGCTATGTACATAAAGCAAATGGTTCGAATAGCTTTATGATGTGAAACAACAAATATATGATAATAATGCAAGCCGTGACAAGGTCTATGCAGCAAATTTTCTTCACCAGAAAACCTCAATCAGCATAAATTTTACATGACACTAAAATTAACTCCATGTTAATGAGTTGCTTTTCAGAATCGTCAAAATATATGCAGTACTCTATACGAACTTAAATGATGAGGTCGCTCGCATTTAACTATTGCCTGATGCACATTAAACATTATGCATTTTACCTGACACAGATGATGTATTTTACGTGACATAGAGGATTGTTTCAAACAACAGCTTGAACAGTCTGTTGTATTAATTGTGGTTTTAGTGACATGATTTTGTATTGTTCACATGCAAATTTGTTTTCGTGCGAATGCTTTGGCCAGTCAGGTGTTACTGCAATTTGAGTAACATGTATTTACAAGTACCTTGCTCAACATCATTGGTTGACAACTAGAGGATGATGATCTACAGACTCTGTGAGAGTATTCATACATCTCTATTAGTATGTGTGTATCAAACCGGAAAAACGTTAATTAATGCTAACCGTTTATTGTACGGTTTCAACTAGCTGTAAAATTTGGAGGAGTGGTTTGTTTACAAGTAAACGCCCGGAGAGCGGAAGGTCGCGGGTTCGATCCCCGACAGCGTCATACCAAAAGACGTTAAAATATGGTACTTGTTGGTCCCTGCCTGGTGGTCGGCATTAATTTTTTAACTTTTTTATTTCGCTTTTTATTCAGGTATACATACAAGTTGACGTATATTATGTAAAGTATTAGTTCAATGCAAACATGTAGGGTCTCAATAAATAATCAATAATACTTTAGTATAATTATACAGTGTCAACAGTGTTACATATACATCGAAATAATTTACCTATTCAACGGTTCTAATAGCACGTGTAGGCTGGACCATAGTTTTAGAAAGTAGGCTTTCTGGTCACGATTAAAATATACATATTTTGAGGTATTATAATATTGTATGTAATCAGCTGTAATTGACTGTATACGGTTCAAGGCAGCGTTTCTTATACCATTACCTCACATTTTTCAGTCTTCAGTTTATTAACTTCATCACTAGTGCTATTTGTTGTTTTTAGTTCTCTACTGGCCTCTTCCAATTATGTACCACTTGTTATTTCTATTACATGCTGTTGATAATGTTAATCTGCTGCTTGTCACAACATACCATGTATATATGCTCCTCACCATTTGGTTGTACTCACTTTTAGCTTGATAACGATGTAAGAATCTACATCGAAACGTCGCTCAACGCAAATAAACCAGAAGTTGTCATCCATAAAGTTGTATGTTTCATTTGTTGAATCACCAACTTCTAGAATGCCGATCGAACAATTCAGTTTATCAAATAAAAATATGAATATGAATTTCAAATACATTTTTTCTAAATATTCAGGTCGAACATCTTACAGTTACATCGCATAAGTGACACTGGCGATTACACCCAACAGATGTCTGGCTGTTTTAAACGAGAACAAGTTGTCACCGGCTAGTACACGCGTAGATGTGAAAGGTTAATGTCACCGTGACACTGCGTGGTGGGTTGGTACAGCCGGGCTATATCTCATTATACCGAGTTAAGACATGGAGAGAGAGCCATGAAGCAGGTAAATGTTTTTGTCACTGTAATAATAAGGTTGTTTTCTGCATTTTTTTCGGAGTAGAATTTGTTTCGTTTTTTAAACAAATATTTTATCAAGGGCTGATTTTAGTTGAAAGAAATTAATACAAATGAGCCTTTATCAGTGGCATATGAAACGGAACCGAACTGTCTGACATTGTATTAGCAGTGGCGCTATGCAAGACGACAACCGTTTAACATTAGACGGAAGGCTAGTACAGGACGTACCAACATGTGTAATCATGCCATTCTACAGTCTGTGTATTACACCCATATATGGAGGACAATCACCCTTTACCTATATTCGTTATCAACAGTTTCGTTTAGAATTACGACATGTAACCTGCTTCTATCTCTGTGAGGGAAAATAACAGTGTATATATGTTGTTTTAAAGAAATTGCTTGAAGTATCAATTATTGCACATTTATGATATTACTTCCCTTTCCTAAAACCGAAAGTTGGATTCCTGGAAATACACGGCGTACTACTTGCTGTAAAACTAGCTATGCATAGAAGGAATATAGTGACACCTTCACACTATGATATTCTGTGTGTATTGAATGCAGTATCAGAGGGGATAGTTATGATACTGTCGCACATTATATTCTGTTTAATGACATGCTCGACTGACAGAGTAGTTATAGCATCACAAAAATGTTTTGCTAATGACATGCTGGATGGGGGGAGAAATTGTCTCATGTTTCATTCTCTGTTACTAGTATAATGGAGAGAGTGGTAATATTACAAATATTCTTGGTTTATTACATTCAGATGGAGGAAGTAGTAATGTTGCACATGATATTCGTTATTGTTATTACGTTAGGATGGAGAGAATAAAGATATCACAAATAACATTGCATGTTGGATAGAGGAAGTAGTGATATCATAAGCATGGCATGTAGGAAAGTGGGAGTGGTGATATCACAAACACTGTTTATTACATGTAGGATAGAGGAAGTAATGATATCATAAGCATGGCATGTAGGATAGTGGGAGTGGTGATATCACAAACACTGTTTATTACATGTAGGATAGAGGAAGTAATGATATCATAAGCATGGCATGTAGGATAGAGGGAGTAGTGATATCACAAACATTGTTTATTACATGTAGGATAGAGGAAGTAATGATATCATAAGCATGGCATGTAGGATAGAGGGAGTAGTGATATCACAAACATTGTTTATTACATGTAGGATAGAGGAAGTAATGATATCATAAGCATGGCATGTAGGATAGAGGGAGTAGTGATATCACAAACATTGTTTATTACATGTAGGATAGAGGAAGTAATGATATCATAAGCATGGCATGTAGGATAGTGGGAGTGGTGATATCACAAACATTGTTTATTACATGTAGGATAGAGGAAGTAATGATATCATAAGCATGGCATGTAGGATAGAGGGAGTAGTGATATCACAAACATTGTTTATTACATGTAAGATAGTGTAGTGATATCGCGAAAAGATAGTCTTTGTTTATTTTAAGCAGGATGGAGGGAGCTGAAGCTGCTATTGAGGAAAACCTAAGCTGCTCTATCTGCACCGAGGTTCTGACAGACCCTAAAACTCTTCAATGCCTCCATAACTTCTGTGCATCATGTCTCCAGGAGTATCTTAACTTATCAGCTCGTCTCAACACTCATGTGTCGGGCATCAAATGTCCCAACTGCCGAGAAGAGACGCAGGTCCCTGACCCCTCTAGACAAGTTAGTCAGTGGGTCTCCCAGCTCCGGACCAACTGCATCATCAGGAACACCATTGAACAGGGCCTACACAGGCCTTCTGACAAAGGTGAGGTGGTAGTTGTATGGTGGTGGTGGTGGTGGAATTGGGTTTAACGTCGTGCTTGAGAATATTTCGCTCATATGACGACGTACATGCGTGTGTATGTGTATGTATGTGCAGCTGCTTGTACTAGCCCAGACTGAAGCTGGTTCTATAGTGCTAGCCCACTGTGATACCTTGCCGCAGTGAAGCATGAATACCCCACTCAGACACATTATACCGACTCCGAGCCGACAAGTCCTTGTTGTACCCACTAATGCCGAGCGCCAGGCAGGGACCAACAAGTACCATATTTTAACGTGGTAGTTGTAGGGAAAGAAGGTGGGCGTGGGGATGAGAGGTCAGAGGGGAGGGGGCAGGTTAGATTGTGAAGTTTGTTTGTTTGCCGTTAACGTTGCCCTCAGCAATTTATTCCAGCCATATGATGTTGTCCTGGAAAATTTGAATCTGATCCAGCCATCCAGTGATTGATATTATGAACAATGATTCATGTACTGGGGGTGTTAAGACACATCATCACCTAAGTCACTACCTCCTGAACTGTTTAGTCACCTCTTTAGACTGGCACAAGTTGCTAAGGACTTATTCTAACCTGGAATCCTGAGAGATTCAGGAAGAGGAGATTCAGGACCACCAGCAGGAGGAAGTAGGGTTTGGGAGGGGAGGTTGTCACTCCATATCTGATGCTAGCTATCCCACGTCAGACGTTACTCCATATCTGATGCATGCTATTCCATGTCAGACGTCACTCCATATCTGATGCATGCTATTTCAAGTCAGTCGTTATACATATCTGATGCTAGCTATTACATATATCTGATCCATAGTATTCCACGTCAGACGTTACTCCATATCTGATGCATGTTATTTCAAGTCAGTCGTTATTCCATATCTGATCCATTGTATTCCACGGCAGACGTTATTACATGTCTGATGCATAGTATTCCACATCTGAGGTGAGTTTCTCCCCTGCTAACATTACTGCATGTTTGATGCTAGTTATATCATGTCTGATGTGTGTGTAATATATTCCACGCCTGTTATTATTACCTATCTGATCATATTCTGTTTCCAGATTGTGACATTTGCAGAGATGATGACCGAAACATCCAAGCAGTGGTTCAGTGTTCTACATGTCAGCTCACATTCTGCCAGCCCTGCCTTCGTGTCCACAAAATGATCCCTGCATGCAGAGAACATTATGTGAAAAGAATAGCCAGTATCCCTCCTATCAAGTATGAATGTTACAACTTTAACATCAGCCTGGAAACAAATTCATCATCAAGTCGAAGAAAGAAGATGTCCCAAAGAGTGAAAGAAGAAATCAGCTCCAAAATTGATGTCATTTGTAAGAGAGGCGTGGAGGACATCAAGAACAAGGAGAAGCAGTTGACAGCAGATACTGATGCTGTTCTTGATGAAGTGTTTGAGAAATTTGACTCTTTGTATCCAGTACTCAGTGCTGATGAAAGGAGTGATCACAGCTCACTTGACGATTCGGATGAAGAGGATGGCAAGGAAGTAGTAACCACAATCAAGCTGTCCTCAAAGGTTGAGTCATTTATCAACAGTGGTTACGGAGATTCACTGGCATCTGCAAGGGCAACATTAGACTTCAAGGAAACAGAAGACCTGGGATTCGCCCCCCTCTGATTCTGATGATCCTGGGATGGAGACCATAGAGGTAAATATGGATGATCTGGAAGATGAAGAGGATGAGATGGAAGAGTTCTCCCGTTCCTATGTGGGAGACGCTGATTGTTGGTTGGGAGATGAAGATGCTCCTTGGATAAAGAGCATTCTTGTAATGAAATCCTGCAGTATGGAAACTATTGTTGTGGCGGATTTGGAACAACAGATGTGTCAAATCCTTCTACACTGACGTAGGCGGACCTTGTCATAGCCGCTTAAAGTTGACTGGTCGGCCATGGGGACTCACAGAACTTATAAATGAAAGGATCTTTGTTACTTGTCCAGATGAAAAGTCTATCCTCACAGTTAGGGTTAGACCTGAGCTTCAGACTGTGCAGAAGATTAAAGTGGAAAAGAAATTGTTCAGTGTTGCCACCGTGGATCCGGACACAGTTATAGCTTGTGCTCAAGACGAGCATCCCCCTCCCTTACTCATCATGAACCTGAGAGGAACCATCCTGAAAACCATTGCCCAGGTCATGAATCAAAACCTTTTCGAATTGCCAACATGCATCACCACGTCACCATGGGGATATTATTTGGTTGCTGAAAAAAATGGGGCAGGTCCTGTCTATAACAAAAGAGGGGTTCGTTTGTAACAGAGAGCCTATAGAGCTCGAGACATCACTACAGTGGATAACATGTAGCCGTGATGTTGGCAAGGTGTATATAGTTGACACAGAAGGAAACAACATTGTGTGGGTCAGGGAAGGAAGAGAGAACATGACTGTCATCAAAGAAGAACATGGCATACTGTTCCCAGTTTGTGTCTGTCGATACAGGGATGCCATGTATGTGGTAGAGAGAATGGGGAAGATCAAGAAGTTTCAACTCACTACAGAAAATTGACATGAGTTACATACCTCCACAGGTAATGTATCCCCTGAAGAAACTTTCAAAACTAATGGTATACAAAGAAATCAGAAGAGGTTTGCATAAACTGATGTTTCTTCGAATGTGAAGCTGAATGATGCCAAACCCATACAGTGAATATGATGAGTGCTTCATACTGCATCAGCAATGGCCATATTTCAGGACATATTTATTGTTGGCTTACACAGCCATGTGTAGTGACAGTTACTGATGGTTAACGCCATAGTATTTATTTCAATGGGGTGATGATGGCCTGTAAGTATAAACATGCTCTGACCAGAAGAACAAGTGAATTATACTGGATTATAGTCTGTCATACAGATATACTTATATATATAAGAGCTATGCATAAGGAAGGAGCTTTTATACATGACTTACCAAAACGGCAGGCGTTCAGTAAAATCCATTTTTGCCTTACTTGATATTGATTATGAATTTAGATGTTCTAGAAATAATGAAAAAGCTGAAGTCTTTTTGCAGTGTTCTTGTAGTGTTAAAAAAATAAATAACATATCCATCATATATCTTTGTATTTATTCCTTGCCTATGATAACAATATTCACATAAATTCATAATTTTGTAAAATAATTTGTAATGGTTTATCAAAACAGTTTTGGTTTAAAAGTTTTACAGACCAAAACATGTCTTAACTTAACAATTAACAGTAGGCCTTCAATATTTTGACATGTATATTTTACAACACAGAACTTTCTGAATTTCTCAACACAACAGGCATGAAAATAACAGTAAATGCCCCTGCAAACCAAATCATTACTTCAAATAAATGCATAAGTAGTAGCAGCTACTCCATAGTGATATAATTAAAATAATGCATCACAACATTATTATGCCACAAGTTTAGTAGTAGTTAATGACAGTTCTAGGAAATTAAAGGGGAACTACACTTAGGTAAATAGGCATCCCTGCCAATTTGATTAGTCCTTCAAACATCAATACAAGTTCACATTTTATGGTGTGTACCCATTTAGCAGTTTGTGATTAAACAAATTCGAGACAAAGTGATTTGTTTCACCCATTATTACCATGTCCTGAAAATGACAGAGCATAGTACCCCTTTAATACTGGGGCAAGGCTATGGTCAACACTGCTTGACAGCTGACATTAGTATGAAGCAAAACAGACCAAGTGACTGGAGAAAGAACTACCATCTTGTTTCCTTGACTTGATAGTGACCTGAATCCTTGTACACCATATTTTCAAGAAAATAACCAAACAACCAAAGAATTATCCTATTTCAAAACATTGAGAAACATGAAACTAAGAAAGCATACAGTGGTCTCCTGAGTTTCTGTCCCCAACTTACATACTAACCTAACAATAACAATATATACATGCAAATTTCTGTAATTATAAGTGATAAACCGTTGCTATTCACATGAATAACCAAACACTAAACATTTTTCTTTGAGAGGCATTTTAGAAGTTGTGAAGATGAAGGAAAACTAAGTTCTATGGATAGTCAACGTCTTTATTGCAATGAGTGCGACGTTTCGGTGTAGGTACTAACACCGTTATCAAGCAAGTGATGGTAAATTGCTTGATAATGGTGTTAGTACCTACACCGAAATGTCGCACTCATTGCAATAAAGAAGTTGACTATCCATAGAACTTAGTTTTCCTTCAAACACTAAACAACTTGTAATGTCTATTAAAAATGACAAATGATGTGTGAACAAACTAATGGCGGCAGATTGATGAAGTATCAGGTTGACTAGAGTGAGTGAGTGAGTTCAGTTCAACAAAGCTCATGCACAGAATACACAATGCCCTTCAGTAAGAAGACAAATTGATATGTTATATTTTTGAATCCAAACTATATTTCAATCCCCATTAGTACTAGAATCTGTACTTTACTGAGAAAGTGTAATCCCAAACATGAAACACATGTCATATCATGTCATGGCACACAGGGCTTTAAGCATGTACACGTGTGGGGAGTTAAACTCAAGCCATACAGAGCCACCCACTGTCCTACGCTGACTAGACATGTTAATACGTAACCAGTAAAATATAGTGGTGGTGCTTGGAGCCCACACCAGGGCCCCATTTCACAAAGTGATCATAACACTTAGGTGATCGCTTTAAAATAGATTTGATAGTGGTGGTGCTTGGAGCGATTTGTTAAACGGGCCCCAGTACTGCCGCTGTCCTCCTGACAACAAAAATAACTCAACACAGGTTGTCGGCAAGCTAAAATTATCATAGAAATCTTAAAAGTCTGTTAATGTGTCCGGAAAAAGTGATACAAAAATATTTCAACTCCCTTTAAACATGTAAAGAAATTACAAAAGACAATATTCTGTTTAAATCTGATCCCTTAAACACACACAAAATCATCATGTTTTATTTTAAGGGAAATTAAACTAAAGTAATATCCAATCAATACATGTGTGCAAAGGGCCTTGAGATTGAGTGAGTGAGTGAATCAGTTGCACACTCAGCAATATTCCAGCGATATAGCGGCGGTCTGTAAATAAATGAGTCTGGATCAGACAATCCAGGGATCAACAGGCTTTGAGACTGAGTCAAGAAACAGCATCTACTGCCAAGACAACATATACGTTTTGTGCAAATTTGTATCATCTTTGTAAACAGAAAGCAATTCCGAATGGGTGACGATTGTTGATTATAATCTTGTTAAAGGGATAGTACAAGGTACTTAAAATATTTGGCTTATCTACAATGACATACAGTACTTCTCCCCTCTGTATCCATTCTTTTACTTTTGACCATAGTGTGCCCAATCCACAATATAACAGTGAAGAATGGTTTGGTAGAATAAATATATTTAAAAAAATTATAAATTCATTGCGTAGCAAACTGAATTTAAATAGCTATCGTCAAAAATAAGATCACAAGGCTCCAATTCTAATTTCTGGACAACAGGATACATTCTGATAAGTGGACATGATGTTTTAAAAAAGATGGGTGCAAAAACTTTCATGACATCTAAAAAAGCAAAGATGTTTTCCTGACATCACAAATAATATTTAGGTTTTCTGGAAAAGTTGCAAATAGCCAACAGATATGTATTTATGGTAAGTCAGAAAATGCAAAGGACAGTAAACAGCAAAAAAAGGTATCAGTAAAAGGTAAAACAAAGTAAAAGAACTGCTAATCACTTTCTAAAATACAATTTATACAAACAGAAGTTAACCACAGAACACTAACACCAACATGTGTGAACAACTTGCTACTAACTCAACTCTCTCTACAATCCTGCAGTCGGCAACAGTTATTCGGATGCTGCAAGTTCCTATAGTGAGTTTGAATAGTATTTTTCAGTGATATTACTGTAATATCTGAGAAAAGACCACTGTGATCCAGGTAACAGATGCATATCCCTCAGAAGAATCCAAAGGGCACACGATGCTGACAAAGAACGGACACTATCGATGACTAATCTGGTATTAAGTGAGTGAGTGAGTATGGTTTTATGCCACTTTTAGCAATATTTCCACCATAAATGGGCTTCATACATTGTACCCATCTGGGGAATCGAACCAGGGTCTTCGACATGACGAGCGAACGCTTTAACCACTAGGCTACACCACCATCCCTAATCTGGTACTTCAACCATGGCAAAGGGGACACAACTCTGCTGAGCAATGTCAACGCACGAAGCTGTTTGAGTGAAGAATTACATAACTGCGTCAGACACCTGCACATACCACTGAACTTAAAGATTTGTGTAATGTACTTGCAAATAATGTACAACTAGGTAAGCAGTCATGAACTGAAAGTCCACTGGGTGGGTGGGGACGTAGGGAAGGTACAGTACATCAGTGATGTCATGACATGACAGTTTGCGGATCGGAAGACTAAAGTGGTGCACATTAGAAAAATTGGGATAAAAAAAAGGACAGGTGTACTTAGGTGTTTGTATTGGTGGGAAAAGTCTTGTGGGGTGTATGGTGACCAATGTTTGTTCCCAGTTATTTGACATCTGTGGAGATGGGTGAATCGAACAAGGGGAGATAATTTTGGCTAGCCTCACACTTACCTCCTCACAGACATACAAGATGTATCATACATAGAATTAAATAAATTCAGTGTGTGCACGTGCGTGCGTGTTAGTGTCAGAGAGAGTGATATTTCTTGAAACAATCTATTCTGACTGGATAAGACTGAAAGTGTGACTTGATAGCTGATGAATTAATAGTGAGCCAGTCTGGATTAGGAAGAGTTTTCTGCAAGACTTTTCTTCAGTTGACAAATACTTCATGTACACTTTGCTTGATCTGTCCGCAAATATGGTCCCTTAACACTTGGTTCATACCTGGTAGATATCTCAATATACTAAAGGTATATGGCCTTGAAATGTAAACACTCAATGCATCTCCTAAACCCTACTATCTTAATCATCACCATTCTACGACATCCATTGTTTATTTCTTAATTCTTCACAAACTTAATATAAGTGAATTATTTTGGTTCTGTAACCAACAAATGATAGAGGCAACTAATTCACCCATCTGTTTGTTATACTGCCGCTGTGACAAAATGTAGTTGACGGTGAAACTGCGATTGACACAGCGCTACAACACTGATGAACAGGTTGAGTGAGTGAGTGAGTTGGGTTATACGCCGCTTTTCGCAATATTCCAGCAATATCACGGTGGGGGACACCAGAAATGGACTTCACGCATTGTGCCCATGTGGGGATTCGAACTTGGGTCGTCAGCGTGACGAGTCGACGCTTTAACTATTAGGCTACCCCACCGCACCGATGAACAGGTTGAAGCAAGGAGGTTTGCAAGAGAAAGACAAAAACAGTTATCCCAATTTATTTAATATCAGGGTTGTCAAACTTCACATTTAGCAAACAAACAAATTCTTGGTCTTAAAATATGAAAGGCCCTGTTTTATATCTGACATACATGTCCGAACTCACATTCTGTTGCTTACGATCAGTGCTTCTGTATGTTCATACCCACAATGCCTTGATACACCAAATTAATGATGTCTAGTCATGTTATCATTAAAACATTCAAGTGCTGTAAGTGATGCTGTGTTATGGCTTCACAAAATCAGGGGTAGTCTCAAGGAGAGACGTGTCATGATAAGTGCAAGTTACCATGGTTACTTGACCGCTGGGAAGATGGTCACAACATAAAAGGGGAGATAACTCCAGTTAGTAGTGCTATTACCTTATCACAGACATGCAAGACATAGAACTCCATCATAATGTGCAACTCAGATAGAACTCTTAGATCTAAAAGATATTTTACCCCAAAGCAGGAATTGCCTCTGGTATTTTTCAATTTGCTGCTATCCCAAAATTTCCCCTCAGGGATTGATCTGCTCAGATATTCGCCTCAAGTGTGAGTGAAAAATGAGCAAATTTTTGTCAATTCCCGTTGACATTGACATAACATGTGAAGTCAGGTGGAAGTTCACTGACCAAATAGCAAGTAAGTGGAAGGGGTATTATTGTAAAGATTGCAACATTGAAATACCTACCGGTACATATCTAAGGAGTAACAAAGAATATCCTGATTTGGAAACGAAATGCTGTGGGAACTTAGCTTGGAAACCTAGATAAATCCCTGTCACAATTCATATTAGGGGTGTCTGATGTGTCGATGGATCTCAAACTGATATTTGATACAATGCATGATACGCCTACCCGTCTGTCAATTCATGTCTGAATTCTGTATAGATTTCAAAAAGCTAAAATTACGAAATTTTGCAATAAGCAAGCCTGATATAATGTTACCTTCCCACCTGCCAAAAGCAGAATGCTAAATCTAAGAAGAGTTAAACACAATCTGGTTGATAGCAACAAGCTCTCAGCCGGCCCCCATGGTGCATGGATTGACACTAATTAGGTTTTACAATATGAATGTGTAAGGTAGATGTTTGTCGCGGAAACCTCTAATATGAATACCAAACTGTAACTGTCTACAAAACATAATTCTTGATAAAGAGAAGGCCAGAGTCATATGGTATAATTACATATTAACATGAGATGATGATCATTGTATATTAAACTGACACAGTGTTACATACCTTGTAAATAACATTCTTACAAAGATGCTGACGTAACCATGTACTAACACAGCTTATACAACAGTCATATTTCCCCAATAAAACAAACAATGTGTCAAAATTTGATGAAGCAGAACCTTTAGCATTCATAATGATGTCATATCCAGGTTTCTTTAGCTCAATGTCTTTGCTACCAGCCCAGAACATGTATTACTTCATCAGATCCTAATCATTGTGAACTTATTTATCTTTCTTTCCCTCAGTGTTGTCTTCTTCAGAATCTTCTTCATCGTCAAAGTCATTATCTTCATCATCAATCTCGTCATCATTTTCATCCTGAATTTCTTCATTTCCTGTTCCAGCGATTTCTTCTTCAGTAAGTTCATTCTTATCCACAAGTTCAAATTCCCCATTTTCACTTTTATCACTCCCAGAATTTTCATCCTTTTCAATTTCTTCCTTTTTGGCTTCCTCAGCGTTTTCTTCTTTTCCTTTCTCCTTCTCTTCCTTGGATTGTTTGTCCTTCGTCTTGTCTGCTTTTGAGTCCTTGCCAAAGTAATCATGTTTATAAAGAGGTTTGAAGGAGTCAAAGAAACCAACGTCTTCTGTCAAATTTGGTAGGAACCAGAAGTGATGTTTTCCAAGTGATGCAACCCACGCCAGGCAGAATAATACAAGGCGAACTGAAACCCCAAAACAGAATGATGTAAGTATAACATTGGCAATAATATTCTGGTGTTGACTAACTAACCCTTTGGGGTTTTTATCGAAAGGACATGACCATTGTTATCAACATGAGTGAGTGAGTGAGTGAGTGAGTGAGTGAGTGAGTGAGTGAGTGAGTGAGTGAGTGAGTGAGTGAGTGAGTGAGTGAGTGAGTGAGTGAGTGAGTGAGTGAGTGAGTGAGTGAGTGAGTGAGTGAGTGAGTGAGTGAGTGAGTGGAGTGAGGTGAGTGAGGAGTGAGTGAGTGAGTGAGTGAGTGAGGAGTGGGTGAGTGAGTGAGTGAGGAGGAGTGAGTGAGTGGAGTGAGTGAGAGTGAGGAGTGAGTGAGTGGAGTGAGTGAGTGAGGAGGAGTGAGTGAGTGAGTGAGTGAGTGAGTGAGTGAGTGAGTGAGTGAGTGAGTGAGTGAGTGAGTGAGTGAGTGAGTGAGTGTGAAGTGAGTGAGTGAGTGAGTGAGTGAGTGAGTGAGTGAGTGAGTGAGTGAGTGAGTGTGTGTGTGTGTGTGTGTGTGTGTGTGTGTGTGTGTGTGTGTGTGTGTGTGTGTGTGTGTGTGTGCCGCTTTTAGCAATATTCCAGCAGGGAACACCAGAAATGGTTTCACACATTGTACCCATGTACCCATCCACAGTTTTACTCACCAACAACAAGCGAGAGTATGAAGCCCACAAAACCTGCAGCAGCCAGACTGAGATAGTAGACTCCGACCCTCACCTCCTCAGGCCACAGCGGGAACAGGCACAGAGCCGTGGCACCAAACACTGCAACATAACCATCAACACTTCATGTTGATCTTTGTCATGTAACTCTACTCTCGGCTGTATTCTACTCTTCTAGCAATATTCCAGCAATATCACTTTGGGGGACACCAGAAATGGGCTTCACACATTGTACCCATGTGGGGAATCGAACCCGGATCTTTGGCGTGACAAGTGAACGCTTCAACCATTTTGCTACCCCACCGCTCCCGATAAAGGTGCGGTAGCAGGACATTGATTGTCAGGTCCAAGAACACCAGTGACGAGAAGTATGAACAACACTTTGTCTGGGCTCATAACATGCATTATCACCCTGACACGACCCTACGCAGTTGGCACTGCAAATATACACACCTTTTGCTGGTTTGTCTTATGTCACACTAAACAATTTTCCAGCTGGTATGAACAATTGACTCTGGACCAGAAAAGCAAGAAACAGCACCACTAAGACGACCAGCTGTCAACTAAGTCACAACCCCTCAATGTAGTCACCTGCTATAGATCACTGGGCCTATTCTGACCCGGGATCCACACAGAAGATATGTCCAAGTATTTATTGAGACTTGATCAGAGGGCTATATTTAGCCCCAATTCTGCAGCAGATGGCATGAAAATGTCAAATTGGAAATACAAATTTCCAAATTTATGTCATATAGCAATCACTAATGTTATTTTTGTAGAAGGGTTTCTTCATTTCAATGACCAGTTTGGGCTTGATAACGTTTTCCTCAACTATTGGCCAACAGCAGTTTGTTTGGAATCCTGGATGCCGTTGGACAAAGCAACCTTACAGCAATGCCCGTCGTAAGTCTATGTTATGGTATGGGAGTTACGATCACCTTAACGCTAAGACTATCGTAAGTCTGTGTTATGGTATGGGAGTTACGATCACCTTAACGCTAAGACTATCGTAAGTCTGTGTTATGGTATAGGAGTTACGATCACCTTAACGCTAAGACTGTCGTAAGTCTATGTTATGGTATGGGAGTTACGATCACCTTAACGCTAAGACTGTCGTAAGTCTATGTTATGGTATGGGAGTTACGATCACCTTAACGCTATGACTGTCTTAAGTCTATGTTATGGTAAGGGAGTTACGATCACCTCAGTACTAAGATCGTTTTGTACAATGGCATCCTGGGCAGAACCCTGATATAGAAACTTTGGTGACCAAAGCCACATGAAATGAATGAAAATATCTCTGTAACCATGGTTACTAATACTACCTACCCATGAGAAGGCCGATGAGGAAGGTCTTGAGTGGGACGGGATCATATATCCACACATACACCTGTTGAAAGAGAGGTTATGTCAGCGCTATGAAACATAATTCCTGGCTTGTCAGGAAACATTCACAAACATCTTAATTAGAAATCAAATACAGTGAGACCTCGGATACCCGGACCCCAGATATCCGGAAACCTCGCCCTCCGGTCAATTTTTAGAAAAATCAGTCTCTTACGTTATAAAAGTGACGGTCTATAACGGATATTCGGTTTCCGTTTCCGGACAGTATATTTTACAAACCAACGGGCTAAATCAACACAAAATTGACTCACGTATCTGCACGAAGCTTTGATCTACCGCTGACTTGTGAATGGAAGCGCGACAGACCCACGTGATTTGACACGAGACATGGTCTGCTAATCCGGATTAATGACCGGTCAGCAAGGTATTGGTGGTGATTAGTAGGCCTAGCTGACACTGAGTTAACCATTGAGTTCAAACTGTTAAGTTGTTTATTCAATGTTATGGAAGTGATTTCAACCCCGAAGTGTATGCTCGCTACAATCTACAATAAAGGCTTGATGATCATAAACATTTTGGATTTTCCTTGAGGTGTATGAAAACCAAAAATCCAGATATCCGGACATTCAATTATCCGGACGATTTATGTAAAAACAAATGTGTCCGGATATCCGAGGTCTCACTGTATATTTAACAAGGTGTTTTAAACAAATCAACAATCCATCTATATTCAGGGGCCCAAAAAATAATAATAGAAATCAAATCTGAAACAGGTGAACCACTGGTTGATAGCATGGGCAACTATCAGTGACAAGCAAACTAGTCCTTCACTACAATGAACTGGTATACACCAAGTCAGCTCTTGTTACAAACAAGACTACTACTGCAAATCTCCACAGTTTCAGTGAGTTAGGTTTTACGCCGCTTTTAGCAATATTCCAGCAGTATCACGGCGTGCCCACCAGAAATGGGCATCACACATTGTACCCATGTGGGGAATCGAATACGGGTCTTAAGCGTGATGAATGGACACTTTAACCATTAGGCTACCCAACCACCCCTCCACAGAGGCAACACCTTTCTCTACACATTAACGATAATGGCCATTAGCACATACGCATTGTGCAGCCATAGACCTTACAGTGACATGGAGAGTCACATGACCTCCTGACTCACCTCTTCTCCATCCACGAACCGCTGGTCGTCATGCATGTTAAGCTTCAGTTTCCTCTCCTTTTTCTTCTTTTCTTCCTCCTGAAACAATCAAATAAAATGATTGTAAAGTATGCAGTCTAAAGCATGTGAAACCATCCAACATGACACATGAGACATATTTAGACTCATTCATCCCTTTTAAGATGCACAAAAACAAGTGACAATTGTGACTAATGTCCAATTGGTATTGTAACGAAATGCTTGTAATCTTCATGCCACACTCATCATTTTCTTTAACAGAATACTGAACATGGTTTTGTTGTCATTATTCAACTTGCTGCACTTCACTGCAATATTTTCTGTTGCCTGCCATTCCTACTTACCTCCCTTTCCTCCATAAAGGATTACCTCCCTTACTATCATGTACCCAATACTTGATGTCAATGGTGGTACCAACATCATCATGTATATTCCCATTACCTTTTCTGGTTTCTTCTCCTCTTTCTTATCTCCTTCTTCCTTCTTTTCTACCTCTTCTTTCTCTGTGTCTCCATCCTTCTTTCCCTTCTTTTCCTTCTTCTTTCTCTCCTGAATCACATCATTTCTTAACTCAACTTTTCAGATACAACATCCTTTCAATTTTCTTTTAAATAACGTGTGACTAGAAATCTTAACTCACACAGTACTAACAGGGTTCAGAAAGTCTATTACATATAATTCTGGTTTTCCTAACTTGCTGTGAACCTGTCAGCAAAGGTTGGTTCATCACAGATTTCATTTTTAACAATATTCTGTTGGTCAGGTCGTCATGGTAATCAACAGGACTAAATCTATCAGACAATGGCCTGACAGTGCATCATTAGTTTGAATCCCACTAAAGACAACTTACTGTTCAGCATGAAGTTTGAATTTGGATAAACCTCTTAATTCCTTAAGTTTAGGGGTGGGGGTGGACAAGTTTTCAATCCAACAAAATCTATTTTCCTTAGTTCTCAATGATATATATAGAAATTAAAATAAGCAAAATGTCCAAAATTTTACCAATACTGTTTTCATTGAGATTGTTATCAAAACTGTGAACTATTCAATACTTACTTGAACTCCTTCTCTTAATGTTACAGAATAATGTCAATAGTATATTTAATCATATGTACTTGTACAAAATATGTTTGGCATTCTTCATGGCACTGTGTTTTTTGAGTATTACAGGGATTTAAACATTTTCAGAATTAGGTTTCTTTAGGGGAAGGGATTTATGTCTCAAAACTTGAGCAATTCATTTTATTATCCTTCGTTGAACTTTTTACCTGGTCCATAACCATATAAGGACTATCATACAAAAGCATGTGATCGGTAAACACGGAGTTGTGCATTTCATAGATGAAGACCAGGCCCCGTTTCACAAAGCCTAAATCTCGTAACTTTTCTTGTAGCATTCATACCCCCTATCTTACAGTATAGGAGTTAAAGGTGAGGTGAAATTGGGTTTAACGTCGTGCTTGAGAATATTTCGCTCATATATGACGACGTGCATGCGTGTGTATGTGTATGTGAGGCTACTTGTACTAGCCCAGACTTAAGCTGGTTTTATAGTGCTAGCCCACTGAGATACCATGCCGCAGTGAAGCATGAATACCCCACTCAGACACAGTATACTGACTCCAAGCCGACCAGTCCTTGTTGTACCCAATAATGCCGAGAGGCACCAGGCAGGGACCAACAAGTACCATATTTTAACGTCTTTTGGTATGACGCGGTCGGGGATCAAACCCGCGACCTTCCGCTCTCCGGGGGGACGCTCTAACCACAACACCGCGGAGGCGGTCCTATAGGAGTTGAAGATATGAGATTATAGACTTATGAGAGCTTTGTGAAACGGGGCCCTGGTTATTTGCCCTCCCACAAAGTGTAACCTCCTCACCCGAACTGTTTCCTCATTGCTTTCTTCATCCTTCTCTCCATCCTTGAGCTTCTTCTTCTTCTTGGTCTTGTCTCGGTCCTTACTTCTCTGTACTTTTTCTGCTCGGTGGAAGAGACCCTTCTGCAGCAATCTGAAACACACAGCCATAAGGTTAAACTGTACCGTGAATGTGTACTGTAATCTGGGAGTGAGTGAGTGTGGTTTTACACCGGTTTTAGCAATATCCCAGAGATATCATGGCAGGGGACACCAGAAATGGGCTTCACACATGTACTGCAATCTGAATGGATGACAAATATTTTTGAGTAAAGCATCATTTTGTTCTTAATCCAAAATTTCAAAAATATTTCATGACTTGTGGAACCGATACTTTTTTTAATTGAATTACAGTTTGTCCATATTTATCAGAAAAACACTGATATTCATTAAAATCAGCTAACCAAGTGGGTGCAACTATCTCTGAACTCTATGACATCATCCACTGTACGACATCATTGTGGTCATACCGCCCAAGAGTGATGTAATGACTGTCATACATCTATGACAGCTGGACAGATTTTGTGTATTGCTTAATATATCCCCAAAGCTTGTAGAATGATAAACATTGAGGTTTTATTAGATGTTCTTGACGCGTTTTGATCCCTATGTTTGACGACTATAGGTAGCACGCACGCACGCACTCACGCACGCACTCACGCACACGCACACACGCACACACACACACACTGTCCAAGGCAAGTGGAGAATAGCTACTTGCAAATCATAAACTATCATTGACTGGAATGACTGGAGCTAACTTATCTAAACCTGTAGAGGTTTCCAATTCTTTGAAGAGAATAAATAAAAATATTTTTTATCCATTATACGCAAAGCAAATTGCACAGTGCGAAAGTAAAAAAAAAAAACCGCCCTCATTGTGAATCTATTAAAGAGCACCGTAAGGGGGAAAACCAACTCACAACCGACTATAATCTCATCAGAGAAATCAAAAGTAGTTAGATATGATAACAGCGGATATATCAATTATACACCATTGAAAGCAGCGTCAACTGTCCAGATAACCAAGACTCACTCGGTCAGGGTGGCAGGACACTGTCCACTGGAGAGAACAGAACGGCCAAAATGCGCACGATCACGAGAATGTGTATTGAGCTGATAGTGCCTGATAAAAGTGCTAGGCCTGCTCCAAATAGCAGCAGAGCATATCTCTTCAATGGACAGTGCCGATGCAAAAGCCTTTGAAGTGGCCACTGCCCTGACCGAGTGAGCCCCTCAGGAGGAGGCTTGCCCTTAGCCTGATAAGCAGCACAAATGACCAATAGAAGCCAGCGTGATAGGGTCTGTTTGCTAGCCGGCATGCAAGCCGTCCCGCCACCGTAACAGCAGAACAGATGGGTACCCGTACCTTGAGTTCGTTTGATATAGACCTTTAGGGTCTTACGGACATCCAACGGGTGAGTAGAGGTCCCCGATGTGGAAGGCTGGGTAAGAGTAGGAAGTTCAATAGGAGCTGTCACATGGAAAGCGTGATCGATCTTCGGACGGTAAGTATCCGGGAGGGGAATACTGACACGAGGATGGAACACAGTCAGCGCCAGGTCTGCCGCCAACCGTTTGCCCAGATGTTACCGCCACCAGAAACACGGCCTTCCATGTTAACAGCTGAATGGAAATAGCCGATAGACGTGAGAACGTAGGACTGGACAGCCAATCTAGCACGATTGACAAATCCCAAAGTGGGCTGGTTCGCCTGACAGCAGGTCGAACCCAATCCACGCCAGCTAAAAAGCGCTGCAAAAGAGGGTGCTGCCCCAGAAGAGCACCATCGACAGGGGTGTGGAAAGTGGAAATAGCGGTGGAGTAGCCACGAATGGTCGAAGCCGCCAAGCCTTCTTCCAAATGAGCTTGCAAAATCTCCAATACACGGACTAAATCCGCAGAAAAGGGATCTTCAATCCCCCTATCTGAACACCAGCGCACATGGCGGGACCACCTATCCTCATATTGAACGTTTGTCGAGTCCCGCCTCGAAGCCAGAATTGTGTCTGCAACTGCTGCAGGAATTCCGCGTGCTTCGAGGCTAGACCTGACAGAGGCCAAGCCACCACTGAATCCTTGGATTGGGGTATGGCAGGCCATTCTGAGTGAGAATGTTGGGTCGCAAAGGAGGCTGAGCCAGAAACCTGAGAATTACCGGAAACCAGCTCTGTGACGGCCATAGCAGTGCCAGTAGCACAAGTAGCTGAGCTTGCTGGGTGGACAGCTGGGAGAGGACCCGGGAAATAAGTGGTAGAGGCGGAAACGCCCAGAGCACCTTGCCCGTCCAATCCAGCAGGAAGGCGTCGGAAGCCAATGCCCTCTGGTCCGGTATTCGAGAGTAGAACACGGGTATCTGATAGGAGCGCTAGGGACGCCGTGCCGCCTTGCTTCAGGATGTACGTCATGGCCGTACGGTTGTCCAACTGAAGACGAACCACCTGGCCCTGAACATGCTCCCGGAAGCGCTCAAAAACCAACCGCACAGCTCTCGGTTCTAAGACGCTGATGTGAAGGTGGGTTTCGGCTTTGGACCAGAGTCCGGACACCGACAGATTGCCCAGAACACCCCCCAGCCTGTGAGGAACGCATCGGTTTGAACTGTAAGAGCTGGTGTTGGGATTTCCAAAGGGACCCCCTTGGAGAGATTCCCGACATTGGTCCACCACTGAAGGTGAGGAGACAACCACCCGGGGACTGTGAGACACTTCTCCAGATCCTCCGAGTGAGCCCACAGACTCACCAAAGCTTGCTGTATAGGGCGCATCCTCAACCGCGCCCGCCACACTACAGAGATAGTTGCCGCCATATGACCCAGTAGATGGAGCCAAGTCCGCACTGGTGCCTGGGGCTGGGAGAGGAACAAAGACACCATCTCCCGTACTCTGGTGACCCGGTCGGGCGACAAAGAGACAAGACCCTTGTGAGTTGTGAACCGCGTCCCGAGAAAAACCAAGTCCTGGTTGGGTACCAGGTCGGATTTCTTGAGGTTTATGATCCACCCCAGTCAAACTAGAATGTCTATCACCGTGTGGGTTGAATCTAGGCTCACTGGCTGAGTTAGAGCGCTGAGCAACCAGTCGTCTCCTTCCTTGCGACCTTGCGAGGGTAGCCGGCACAAACATGAGCTTGGTGAACACCCTGGGGACAGTGGATATGCCGAAGGGGAGCACCGTGAATTGGTAATACATCCTGTCGTAAGAGAACCGGATGTACTGCTTGAACGATGGACGAATTGGCACATGTAGATACACATCCTTTAGGTCGATCAACGTAAGCCAATCGCCGGGCTGAACAGAGATCACCGAGCTAGGTGTCTCCATCTTCAGGGATGGAACCTCTAGCATGCGATCCAACCCCTTGAGGTTGAGAATGGGACGGAACCCGCCGTCCTTCTTCGGAACGAGGAAGTACATGGAATAAAACCACGCCTGTTTTTGTCCAGCAAAGCCTGAACTTCGTCTCGCAGTATACCCGCCTTGACCGGACATGACGGCACTGGAGTGCGATGTATGCCGGTGAACTCTGGCGGGCCTCGCTTCCACAGTGGTAGATGGCCGACACTGACGGTGGATAGCACCCAAGTGTTGCTGGTAGCCTTCTCCCACTCCGGTAGGAATAGAGAGAGGCGGCCCCCCACTGGGACGTGTGGTAAGAGTGCGTGAGTGGTCCCCTGCAAATGAACTGGCTGGGACGGACACACGGCGACAGCCTGCAGATTTAACGGGAGATCGGGGCAGACCCCCTGTGGCCGAAAAAAGGCTGCTGGGAGCCAGACGAAGAGGCCTGCTCCTTGCCCTTACCTTTGGCGGGGACGGCTCCTCCTCCTACCCAAAGCCAAAGCCAGCCGGCAGACTCGGCTAGGCTGCGCCCAGAGGAAGAACCTGCTACGGGAGCACGGGAGCGATAGGCCCACGGTTGCTCCAACAACGCCTTAGAGCCCTTGAAGGATGACCTGCTGTGCCCCCGGAAACAACGTCCCAGCCTAAACGGAAGGGCCAGCAAAGTCTGCTGTGTTGCTGCCGAATAAGGGGATGTAGACAGGCACAGCTTGCACATCCCCATGACTGCGCACATCACCGTAGACGCGGCAGACTGTAAAGAGTCTCGCGTCAGGTGGGCCTGTACTTCGGATAATTGGTGGAGCAGAACAACATTCGGGGAAACGTCCCCAGTGCTCCCTTCCGCTTCCAGAGCCGACCTTTGTATCGAGGAAAGGTACGCCTCGTGGACAACTACCCGCACCTGCTGCATGGCATTCCGGTAGACTTCCTCATAAGTCCTCGGTATCACCGGCTTGGGGAATATACCGGCAATACGTTGCCTAACCTTCTGGAGAGTCGACGAAAAACGGAAAGTACCCTCCGATTACTCGACCTCCCCAACCTCGAGTCAGAATTCAGATCTCCACGTGAAGAGGAGCCGAACCCCGACCCGGTGGGAGGCCGAGCCACAGATGCCTCGGGAAGAGAAGAGACGAAGGAACTCTCAGCTCCGGCCACCGACACAACACTCGAACCCCGGTCCCGAGACACGAGAGGAAGGCCGGACAGAACCAGCTCCTCCACTATCTGGGGTGGGCGGGCGAGGGATTCCTCGGTACCCCAGGAATCCTCAACAGACCCTGCACCAGAACCCCAGGAGGGACTCAAACACGCCCGACTCTGCGACGCGCGCGACACCGCCGCGCGCTGGACGCACGGACGCACGCACACACACACCCTCTGGGGCAGCTGAGGCATCCGGACATGAAGCCAAAGGCAAAGGATGGACAGACGCCTCCAGGCCAAGGGATCGAGCCGAGCTCGGCGATACCAACCCTGGACTCTCGGTCCCCTGATCAGAGTGGGAGAGGAACTCCTGCCAGAGACCTCCAACCGACTTGTGAATGAGGGACTTCACAGAGTCCACATGCTGCTGAAACAATTGAGTGATAAGTAACATATGAAAACAACTGGACGGAGAGTGTGACCTATGTGAAGACTTAGTTTTAGTTTGCTTTTGCCTTTTTGGCCATGGACGGGGGAACCTCCTGGGTCAGGTCCCCTCCCGCCTCACGTAATTCCTTATAAAACAGGAAATCAGCCGCCCGTCTCTTCTGGGCCCAGGGGGAGAAGCCCATGCACAACTCACAGATGTCAGGGTTATGCCCTGCCTTCTCCAGGCAGCATAAGCATTTGTCATGCTTATCAGAACGGGGAATATTTTGCCCGCAGGCAGCACATCCTGTAAACGCCTGAAAGCACACACGCAATATTTCAAGCATGTAGCTAATATTTCAACAGCATAATATACACGTACAAAACATTGAAAAACTTCCCACCATGGTTAATAGCAATATTTCAACCACGTGGTGTAAACCACATGGAAAGCACAGCGGGAAAAGTGTAATACAAAGTCACATAAATGAGAAATAAAACGTGTCTCAAACAAAATAAAGACCATACATACAGTTGTTGAAGTCTCAGACGTTCTTCTACAAGAAGTAAATCAGCTAGGAAATACGCATGTGAACGCTTGAGTGACAGCAGAAGGAATGATGATACGGGCCTAGGTGCTTACCTGGTTGGCTGCACATGCATAGCAGGGAGTAACTCCACGTGGTGGGGGCCGTATAATAGATAAAAAATATTTTTATTTATTGTATAATATTTTATTAAAAAATTGATAACATGTCACATGTCATATTTTCAGCGCCTATGAAAAAATGAGAGGTTTCTATATATGCCCCCTAAACTTAAATATCCAGAAAGGACAATCTCTATGCCATACAGAAAAGAATCATTAAGACACAAACATTTCTCTGAAATGACCCCTAAACTTAAATATACCAGAAATCTGAATCATGTTCTCAATCATGCCATACGGATGGGGAAATCGAAACCATCCACATCATTAATGGCAATAAACTATGATGCAAACATATAGTGAACTACCTGAGGGATGATCTGTATCATAAATGTTTTGAAACCTCATAAGGACAGTGACTAACCCCTTGATTTTAAATTTGATGCTATTACTTTTTCTGCTTTTAAATGACAATGTAATGAATATATGTTTTGAAATAAAACTCATTCTGAGTATGTACTTCAAATGCAAAAATATGTGGCTGGGCGAGAGTTCAACTCAACTCAACTTTGTGTTCTCCTACTTCAAACAAAATACCAGTTCATTTGTTTCCTACTTCAAACAAAATACCAGTCCAGAGTTCAATATTAGAACCATGCCCACATCAGTCTGCCTTTGTGCATGTAGTTCTGATTGTGACATCCTCTATGTTGTCATTGTTGAGACTAGTGTTGAAAGTGAGGGTACCTGTTACAGAAAGACACACAGGAGGCTCGGTTGGTGAACAGCGGTTCCTTGGCCTGCTTCGACCACTTGGATTCCAGCAGTGCGTCCACAGCTTTATTGGCTGCAGACAGAGAAATCATTGTTAGCTTGGTATATACATGGCATCCTCGATCACCCAGTGTGTTACATCTTTCTCCTATGTATTTCATGATTTATCTGGCAGATTAAACCTCATTTTTCAATGAAGACCTCAAGGGATTGTCAAGGCCTGTTGGTTCTGAAGTCCTGATGGCAGCCTTTTGAATAGTTTTCCACATCCAGTACATGTATCAGTAAATACAACAAGGGACCGTTGTTGTAATGTATGGCTAGGGGGAGTGATGATGATTTTCTAATTTTGGGTGGTTGGGTAGGTGGGTGGGTGTGGGGGTGGGGTGGGGGTCGGTTTGTGTTTGTCCCCACCATTTTGTTCTGGCTCATCAATTTTGTACACATGTATTTTTTTTTTTTTTATTTTTTTTTTCTGGGGAGGGAGGGAGGGAGAGCGATTTTGTACTGAGTATCATTATTATCATTATTATATGAACTGGTGTCCACTTCAAGTACTTATTAATCATTGCAATTGCATCTGAAATCAAAGTCAACCATTCATCGTACCAAATATGACAAAATGAAAATTCGAAAAAAACCAACACTTTTTAAGTTTCGATAATTTAAAGGGTTTCTGATATCATGGATATTGGCAAAAATCATGATTTATCTGACTTACCGAAGAAGCACTGTACTGTCATCCCCACCAGTCTTCCTTGTCTGGTCGGAACACCGAATCGGAGAAATTTGGCAACAGCATACTCATCCTTCGAGGGCTTCTCCTGCACCTGTGATGCAGAAACAATCAACACCTAGTGTCTTGCTGGGATTTCATGACATGTCATACCCTAGCCCTCTTCTGTACATATCAGCACATACATGCCACAGTAACCGTCATCACTCAATATCTCACAGACTGACATGACATGTCTACCTGATGGTGTGCCATTACCCTAGCCCTCTTTTGTACATATCATATACATGCCACAATAACTGTCATCATTCAATATCTCACAGACTGTCATGACATGTCATACCTGATGGTCATATACATGCCACATACCCTAGACATGTCTGCCTGCATGCCCTAGCCCTCTTCTGTACATATCATATACATGCCACAGTAACTGTCATCACTCAATAGTAATGTCTACCGGATGGTGCATCAGCCCTCTTCTGATATCATGCCACAGTAACTGTCATCACTCGATATCTCACAGACTGTCATGATATGTCTGCCTGATGGTGCATGCCCTAGCCCTCTTCTGTACATATCATATACATGCCACAGTAACCGTCATCACTCGATATCTCACAGACTGTCATGACATGTCTGCCTGATGGTGCATGCCCCAGCCCTCTTCTGTACATATCATATACATGCCACAGTAGCTGTCATCACTCAATATCTTACAGACTGTCATGACATGTCTACCGGATGATGGTGCCATAGCCTAGCCCTCTTCTGTACATTTCAGCATATACATGCCACAGTAACTGTCATCACTCAATATCTCACAGACTGACATGACATGTCTACCTCATGGTGTCATACCCTAGCCCTCTTATTTCAGCATATACATAGACTTACATACAGACTGACCAGGAAACTCTGAAGTGTTACCTGTCCACATTATTATAATGACTGAGTCATAGGTGACCTGACTTTGCATGTGTTTGTCTTTTTCTCCCTGTAGCATGTTTATTATCAAACACAAACTAATAACAGCTGACACCTTGGTGCTTTAACACCAGCTGTCACTCTACTTGTTTGATCGGCCTTCTATGAAGTGGGTGAGTTGATAGGTGTCGTGATCAATATCAGAAGGTGAAGCTGAAGAATTAAAATGCACTGACTACCATGGCAACTAATCTACATACTGAAGTGTGCCACACTATTAACATGATTGATAATACATGTATCTGTTTCTGGTAACCTTAGCCAGTAATAAGAAGAGTGAGTGAGATTGGTTTAACACCACTTTCAGCAATATTCCAGCAATATCATGGCAGGGGACACTAGAAATGGGCTTCACACATAGTACCCATGTGGAGAATCGAACCCGAGCCTTTGTAGGGGAATCTAGGCCACCCCAAGCCAGTAATATGAAGATGGGTTATGTAGAGAATTCTAAACTGTTCCAGCCATAGATGGACTGACTGACCACTGAGGTCACGCTTTAGCAATATTCCAGCAACATCATTGACTATGAGTATGGATGTCAGTATTGCAATGAATGGTCAGCATGTATTGAGGAATTATTGCAATACGGATGTCATTGTGTAAATATGGATTCATTGTGTATTGACCGGATGTCATGGTAACAGACAGGATGTCATTCAAATTGCAATACGGATGTCATTTTTTGACTATGATGTATGGATGTCATGTCATTGTGTATCATAATACGGATGTCATTGTGTATCGCAATACGGATGTCATTGTGTATTGCAATATGGATGTCATTGTGTATTGCAATACGGATGTCATTGTGTATTGCAATATGGATGTATCAGGAATTAATGAATGTCCATGTTGCAGGAACATCATCTCCACAAATTTACATATCAGTTTTAAACATGCTAGACTCATGATTTACTGCCACAGAATAATCTATACTTTCCTAACTGTAGCTCTACATACAATATTTATCAATACGCATACAGAATAACTGACGTTCTCATTAACATGATTGTCTACAGATTGATTTTCATGATACTTTTGAGCATGTGCTATCTCAAATCAATCGTATCAATGAGTCATGTCCAGTTCAGATGTGGACCAGTCTGTGACCAGTGCCATTTGTCCCAAGTCAAGGAAAAAAATCGTCTTGATTCTTTTAGCCCACAAAGCTCTTAATGATAACATTAACACATACCAAAACTGATGTTTACAGCCAAGGTTGGCCAAGCATGGCTCGTTGACTCAAATGTTTCTGGTACAGAATGTAAAAATCCCATGAATTTCCTGCAGACATTTCAATGAATTCTATACCATGACAAAATCTGAAAAAAAATCTTGAGGATATTACATGATGGCTGCAAAGTGCTGAACACTATGTGGTAATAATTTCAAGGATTGGGATAGAGAACTTTGACAATGGGCCATTTTCAGGATTACTAGCTATTTTCTGAATTTAGAATGGACCACTGCCCTTGTATCAATAGTAAACTTCAATCTTTTAATGGGCCATTTTTTATTCTAATGTGCAAAATGGGCCCCTGCCTTTCCCAATCCCTGAATAATGATACTAAAATGCTAATAAATGCTCAATGTCATTTAGAAAGTGATCAAATGTCATTGTCTGTTCACAACTTTTTGTGTGGAAGCCATGTAAATTTACACACATGAGACAGGTACAAAGAGAATGTGGTCTACACTACCAGCTGTCAGAGTTCCATTTTTGCGGAAGCCACGATGGCAGAGTGGGTTAGATTGCTGACTTTGCATGCTGGCAATAAGGTGCCTGTCTCTGAAAGTGTGGGATTGAATCCCAGATGGACTCAATCCAAGAAATTACAAGAATCTGTACTTCAATGAAAAAGTAAAATCCAAAATATAACATGTCATAAATGCTACTACATCCAGTGTTCACGAATAGCGTCTGACCCTCTGACAAATCCGGGCAGATTCACCAACGGTCCGATAGAAATCTACAACCCGTCGGCCCCAGTTTCTGACTGTATATTTCACAATGACTTTGACTGAAGTTGTTATATGTGACACGTGACACTTGTTTGCTGTATATAAATCTTATGTTTGTTAATAATTTCAATGCCAATATAAGAAATATAAATGTGTCTTTAATTATATTCTATGGGTCCTGTGCATTTTCAATGGGTCAGACAGACATCTGAAACTTACAGGACCGAAAGTCCTGTTACTTTGAAACACCATTCGTGAACACTGCTACATCATGTAAATGAAGAGATAAGAACAAAAAACTATTAACTATTAGAAAGGTTTACCCTATCCAACCAAGGCAAGCGATCTTCATCGTCATCATCAGAGAAGCTTGACATGCTATCACTATTCAGTTCCACTAGTTAGTGCAGTGAGCTGTCAGTGGTTGTTGATACACAACTGGAATGTTGTCAACACACAAGGAAGCATGGCCTACATCACTGTCATGTTTTATCTTAGCTCCACTGGAGGTAAGTCAAATATGAGGATACACATAAAAGGAAATAATTCAGAAAATTTAACACATAGTTAGTCTTTTAAATTTTTGTTGGCAAATCGTAATAATTGTCTTCTGTCATTTTCTCAATTTTTCTGATGCCTTGTTTCACATCTGTATTTCAGCTGATTTCTTTGTGTTTACCTCAGAAGATGGAGAGGAATAACAGGGGAAAATGACAGTTTCCTCAGACTTAGAAACTCTGATTTGTGGTAGTAGAGTGAACTGTGCCATATGTCAATGCCAGCCCAGGTCCAAGACTTTCACACGATGGACCACCATGGATTATTCATGAGTCTCCAGGGGTAAATACCTAAGTAAAACCACACTCCTCTCCCAGTCTACAGCATTAACCCATACCTAAAAGTCAAACATCTACTGTCTAGTATACGCTGTAGGACCAGAGAGTGAGTGAATATATTTTTATACCCCTTTGACTTACATACTAGCAGTATCACATATTGGGACACCAGAAATGGACTTCACACATTGGACCCATGTGGGGAATACAACCTGGGCCTTTGCGTGACAAGAACATAGAACTCTTGTCATATGTATATGACCTAAATGACAGCCTACATGCTAAGGTGGCATCAAATTACTGTTTTTAGTGGCTCTATCTGGTGACCATGAGACAAAAAAACAACAGTAAAGTTCATCATGCAATTGTTGTGTTCTCAATATGTACATGTCCCACCTGGAGTGTTTCAAATGGTTCATTTAAGTAATCAAAAACTTTTGACCAATAAAAACTCTAAACAACATGGCACATATGTCATAATTTCGTATTAATTTTTACTATTATTCATACTTGGAGGATCGATTTTATAAGAAAATGCTCAACAAAGAGAAATCGTAACTGAACTTCTGAGCAGTGCCTGTCAGAGGAGCAGTGTGCATATACAGGGTTTTACATGACGCGTGATTCATGCGTGTTCGATGCAACAATTTTGTAAACAACTCTCAAAATATTATCATACGAGTCAAGTTTGACGCAAGTTTTATGGGTGACCCTCACAACTCAGTTCAATAAAATCGATTTGATAAACAAAAAATGATATTGTCAGATTGTTCCAGAGAACTTAGAAGAGACAGTAATCCCGACTGTTTGAATTGAACAATGCTGTAGTTTCATTTGGTGGTTTGACATACGTTTACATAATGAGAATGATTAACACAAAGAAATATTAAACTTTTCATGACTCCTAAATATTGAAAATGACTCCCAAAATAAATATTGTGAGTCACTATGACTCCCATTTTTAAAAGTCTGTGTAAAACCCTGCATATATACTTTCTGTATCATGGGGATACACCGCCAGGAGCTATAGCAGTGAGTGAGTCAGGGCATTTCTTATCTTGACATTTTTGGGCCACATCATACATATCTATTCAATCATGAATGTTAATAATTGTTATTGCATTGACTTGTTGCTATGGTTTGTCTCCTGGAAGCTTTCAGACTTATTGAATTTAGCCACCAACTTATTACATTTCTTGGGTACAAGTCATTTAACTTCATACAGCCTTTTGTGTCGAAGTGACTCCACTGCTTCATACATGGGAATGTGCACATTGGTTGCGATGTCTCAAGCTGTGCCCTGTGTCATATGATCAGCTGCAAGCAACCATTAGAATCATTGGTGATCTTGTGTCATGATTTTAAACTGGGTGTATGAAGACCATTGTGTTTCAGCAAATCATGCAGAATGATTAGTGTCAGTTTCTTATGTTTTCACAATGGCTAGCCAACAAGGGTCTATAACTGCCTTAGAACCTTTATCGACACTGTGTTAATTTCATCAATGTATGAGATAAGGTAGTTCACAACAGCTTTATATGTGAAAATGTAACTAGTCATGCATGTTCTGTATGGTTTTTATAAGCAACCCCTTTTTTAATGTTCACGGTGCCTGTTATGACAATTACAGTATAAAGGTCATTCATCTTCACATGATTAAACTTAAATGTCATAATATTGTCAAAGATTGTCTATTCTTAATGCAGATAATTAAGAAATTGAGATATTAGGAAATATTTCAATAAAATTGGATGGAGTGAGTATGGCTTTACGCCGCTTTTACTAAAGTTTAGCAATACTCCAGCAATATCATGGCAGGAGATAGGAAATGGGCTTCACACAGTGTACCCATGTGGGGAATCAAACCCGGGTCTTCGGCGTATTGAGCGAACACTTTAACCACAAGGCTACCCCACAGCCCCTCATTAAAATTGGAAAAATTTACTGCCTTGAAATAGGCACATTTCATCAGGTACATAAACATTAGAATCTTTACAATGATTATACATCAGAGTGTATTATTAGGTTTGAGAACATGATGGAGATACTTCTTGTTTTAGTAATGGTATTAATATCAGGTTAGGGAGTTCTGATTTTCACAAGCTTAAACATGTGAAGATGGCATTAATCTCAAGCAAGTTAGCGATACCACTGTGAGGTACGACTGGTACTGTAGTGGTACACTGTAATACAAACCCCAAGTAAATGTTTTGCGATACAATCTCAATGGGTTGGTCTACTGAGCAATTACAGAAACAAACTGTAAACTTAAACTCTTCCTCACTGAGGTAATCTTAGACAAATCTTATTTCTTGTACACAATTCTATTTGTTACTGTGTAACTTCCCTTGATTAAGTATTACACTGGCTACCAATTGTGTCTCAAATGCTGACTCTGAGACAACAATAGGGTATGACTGACTATATTACTGTTTTGTCTTTAATCAATCATTTGACGTCAGTGCAGACCATCACTAAATGTAAGTTAAATATTGTTCCTCTTGAGAATAGATGAGTGATGTTTGCCACTTAAAATAGTATACAGGCTACAGGATTTCAAAACAAACTCATCAATCATCAATTCCTATTTTTTGTAGGTGTATTGTATGTCAGCTCTACTCCATATCTGTCATACAGAGTCAGTCACAAATTTATCCAACACAGTCCATGAAAGTCTATAACATTTGGCAAGTGGTTAGTGTTTCTGTGCATAGAGTTCAGGTCACAAATCAGTTGACATTAGCAACATTCAGTCCTTCCCCACAAAGAAACACATGTGATACATGTGGTCTCGCCTTAGGCAAGTGAGTTTGTGCAAAATTGCCTCTGTTCACCTAGCAGAAAATGGGTACCCGGTGGGATAAGTCATGAGACTATTAACCTTCTACTAGGTTCTAGCGCTTCACAGGTAGCTTGGGTTATCAGGGATAATAATTATTTCAGTGCTTCTGAGCAGTGCTACATTGGAAATAAGAGCTACATAAATCAATAACATTATTTTATTAAGTCGAGATTACTGCAGTTTAAGGAAAGCCTCTGGGCTATTTTTCATAACATTGACTTAACATAATGTATGACTGTTTTTTTCTGTAACGTATGTTCATCTAAGAGACAAGATGTTAGCCTAATCTATGCCCACATTACACCCTTAGCAACTAATCATGAATAAGTTGATGAATCAAACTGAGAATAAAAATCTGTACAGGCAGAAACTGATACCACAGCAGCACATGGACACACCTGACCCTAGGAATAGAAAATGTTGGGTGTCCAGTTGTAGTTGTTTGAACAGTAGTCCCCAGTATCATGACAATCATATAGTATACACAGTTTATCATTTTATGGGAACGGTTCGTTCGTCATTTTTAATCATGTTAATAAGACACTAGCAAGAAATATAAAACCTAATTCTACCATCGTCACAAATAGTCTGTCAAATTCAATAGCATACAACATATGTTGAGGGAAATAACGGCAAAAAACGTGAGTACTGCATTTTACCGGGCGCACTTTTTCAGATTAATTAGCGCTGCTGGGGTTCCCCAACACTAAGGATCGTAAAGGGTGCCTAACCCTAAAGATCGTAAAGGGTGGCATACCCATACCCTAACCCTAAGGTTCGTCAAGTGTGGCTGCGCCCGGCAAAGTGCATTCTAGCCTTTAACTTTAAAGTGTACGGCATATATAATGGCCACTGTCTTAGTTGGGCGATCGCCAATTGTGTTGGTTTTTTTTAGAGTTGTTATCGTATTGATGATTAGGCCTGCTTCGAAAGTAACAGATGTTAATGCTAATTAAACGATGACGATCATTGTGAGTGAACACGGATGAAAATTAATCAATTTTACTGACACAATGACTGGAATAAACGCTCGATGCAATGTCCCATTTAAATGTAAGAAATAGGACTTAAAATTAATTATCATTGATGTTCAATGACGACGCATGCATCAATGTTTACAAAACCACAGGTTGCTGATTTTGACATATGCCAGGCAACTCCATGTTCAGAGGATGATTGTGACTGGCGTCTGTCCTTGATATTAAATCCGACAGTATGTATTGGATAAATAATAACTAAAGTTTCATCAGATACCGTAAAGATCACCATACGTTCATTCAGTGACTTACCTCGTCCATTTTGCGCCGACTCTTCGTCTTTCTTTCGACCGCCATTACGTGGCTTTGACCTCGCTTTGGTTCCAAATGGGAAAACCCCCCATGTGACCAAACAAGGGGGATAATAGAGAATTTCCCCAGAACATATCCCTTTGTGTGAAGTGTTGTCGACCGCATAAGCTGATTACACGTTCGATTCCCATGTGTGTAAAAAATTCTAACATTTAATTTGGTAGAGTCTTGTATCATCACAGTAATGTATCCACTCTATCGCTTATTTATAAATAAAAACAAATTTCCAAAGACGAATATCACAAATAAGATTTATTATGTCAAATCATGCTGCACATCAGAAGTATAAAACAGTTAATTTTAGTCTGCAATATTATATAAACAATATTAGCTGTACTGGCACTGAGTCAGCCCTCTAAGTATATTTTTACATGTTTATATTTTTAAACGCATAATGGATTTAAAACGTTGAAAATAAAAAAATATATATATAATCGTAAATTATATATAACTGCGGAACAGTTAAAACTTTCATTCGTCAATCCGAAAGGTGAGTGAGTATGGTTTTACGCCTCTTGTAGCAATATTCCAGCCAGCGGGGAACACCAGAAATGGGTTTCACACATTGCACCTATTTGGGGAATCGAACCAGGTCTTCGGCGTGACGAGCAAACGCTTTAACCACTAGGCTACCCCACCACCCCTCACTCCAAAGACCAAGGCTCGATTAACAACATGGACCCGTACAATGTGTGAAGCCCATTTCTTGTGTTCCAGGGCGTGATATTGCTGAAATACTGCTAAACTTTATTGCTGAGTCATCTTTGAACCATTTTATTTTTACACAGAACTTACCCAGCCACAGATATTTCTTTCACAAGTTGGTTACTGGAATAAGGAATGGTTACATAAACTTAAACAAATATAACAACAGTTCTTTATCAGCAGTTACACAAAACAAATTCGTTGCCCCTCAGTTTAGATCATATACAAATATATCGCCATTCCTCCGTAATTAAAGAATAGTGTTCTGCAGATAACTAATTCATTGCAGCAGAACAATTTGGGTTAAAGAAACCTCGGTATACGTATAGTTACAGTAAGCAATATTGTTTTATTTCTGCAAAATTGACCACAGCTATTGCACCAACATAGCTACCGATCGTCAAAGCTGGGGAAATCAGGATGACTCTTTCCGAGACAAACCGCAGAGTTGGCGTCAAAGAAACACGTAGCAGGAGGAAGAACAAGGTAATGGCAGCACCAAACCCTGACCAGACTACCCTCAGCCGCAGCCTCTGTGTTTCGCGGATCGGTGTCACAAGCCTCGAGAGGGCCTGCAGACAGACGACGTGAGCAGCAACCTTCATAAATCTTCGTTCTGGAAGCCAAGTCTTACCTTTACCATTGTTTTACACCGCATTTAGCGATATCCAGGAGACTTAAAAAAATGTATTACCCAACTGTTACCAACTGTGACTCGAACCCCGCCATCATGACTGACTGAGTTTGGTTTTACGCCGCTTTTAGCAATATTCCAGCAACATCACGGCAGGGGACACCAGAAATGGTCTTCACACTTTGTAACCATGTGGGGATTCGAACCGGATCTTCGGCGTGACGAGCCAACGCTTTAGCCATTAGGCCACCCCACCCCCAATCATGACTGTAATGAGTGAGTGAGTGTAGTTTTACGCCGATTTTAGCAATATTCCAGCAAAATCACGGCGGAGGACACCAGAAATGGTCTTAACACATTGTACCCATGTTGGGAATCGAACCCGCGTCTTCGGCATGACGAGCGAAAGCTTTAACCACTTGGCTTCCCCACCGCCCCTCCTTCAAGACAAGCGTGAATATTAGTTTAAAACAATGTCCTCTGCGTTTAAAATGTTGTTTTGAAATCTTCCAGAAACATTCAGCAATTGTTAATATGCTACAGCTTTCAGATGAGCATAAGCCAATAACATATTATATTCCACATATTTTCCCTCATTATTATTTGTTTTCGCTAATTGTTGTTTTCATATGTAAAATATGGCTCGTTAGATGTTAAGACGAAGCGTTTTCACTGATGTTTTATGTTTGTTAATCGTCAAGATCTTGTGGCCTAAATATACTGAAATGTCGAAACGTTCCCCAATCATGATGAAGTCGCATATTAGTGACCAGTAGACAGAGAACAAAAAATCAGAACAACACAAACATTCAATTTCACAGTTTGCGTACTGACACATGTAAAGCGTTTTGTTTTAAACCGAAAGTAGAAACCCCGATGAGTCAAACTAAGTATAGGACCTTGTCACAGTCTAAAGCTGGCTAACTTCCTGGTCGGGTGTAACTGTTCATGAGCTTCAGAAGACACACCTCTACTGCAGCTGGATCACCTGGTGTCCTCCTAGAGTCGTTACCCGTGGATACTGTGTGTTAGAGAGATCGATACATACCCAGAAGGTAGGTAGCACAGTACCTGCAAACCATTCCTAAAAGAAGTATGACTATGTACAGTTTTCACGGTAAGAACCAAAACACTGTTTAATCAGGAACTATACCTTCTTAGAATGAATATACATGCTCCATATACGTCTGTATATATGCAGATTATTGCAATGATACTCTTAAAAATCAAAATATCATTTTATGTACATGACCTTCAGAAATTTAATCTACGATGTTGGCGGCCTGCCAGCGTTGTCGTGTATAAGGCTTATTGTGATCGGATCTGCAGGTGGACAACTGTCCTACATAGCCTGCATGGCGAGACCTTTACAAACCTGTGTTGCTGATTTATGCACAAGCGAGACGCCATATTTTTATATCGATCAAAAGTTGCTTTTTTTAAAACTGCGTTTTCATGTCAGCAATTTCTGTCCGTTAATGCATGGATACAGTTTTACAAACAATCGTATTGATTCTGACAGAAGTAAAATGTACACCGACTTGCATGTTCCATTATAATACCAACATAATTTGCATAAAAAGTATGTCTTTCTGGACAACAGACAGTATTTTAATACTCCCTCAATGCATATTAGTGTCGGCATCACAATCTCTTCCACAATACAGGGCGGTGGGGCAGCCCAGTGGATAAATCATTCGCCCGTGGCGGCAAAGGCCTGGGTTCGATTTCCCACATGAGTACAATGTGAAGTAGTCCATCATGCTATTGCTGGAATATTGCTAAAAGCCGCGTAATGCCAAACTCACTCACTCACCATTATGGTACCGTGGGCCCATTTGTCACCATTTGTCACACAGACATCATCTTCAGCAGTAGTGAGTGAGTGAGTATGGTTTTATGATGCTTTTGGCAATATTCCAGCAACATCACGGCGGGGGACCCCAGAATGAGCTTCACACACTGTACCCATGTGGGGAATCGAACCCGGGTCTTCGGCGCGATGACTGACTGACTGAGTTTGGTTTTACGCCGCTTTTAGCAATATTCCAGCAACATTACGGCGGGGGACACCAGAAATGGGCTTCACTCATTGTGCCCATGTGGGGATTCGAACCCGGGTCTTCGGCGTGACAAGCCAACGCTTTAACCATTAGGCTACCCCACCGCTCCTCTCCACCAGTAACCTCGCATACAAGGTATGCTGCTAAAGGGTCTAATGTGGCGCCTTCCTCCAATCAGATTCAAAGAGAAGGGACTAGACCCGGGGTGTTTATGTCAACACAATGGGGACCGAGTAAACTATTTTCATAACGGACATACTTATAACGAACTGATGGATGCAACGATCGGTATTTTCTGTCTCTGCTATTTGCTGTTTATAGTGGTCGAAATGCGTATATCGAACTACGGTTATAACGAACTAAAAACTGTGGTCCCTCCGAGTTAATTATGATCGAAGTTTACTGTATATTATTCTGGATAATCGAGGATTACGTCCTGACGAATTATTTTCAAATTCAAAAATATCCTTATATGAACTATTACAAATCTATATGAACTAAATAATACCAAATCTCTCGGCAAAAAGACCCTACACGATTCAACGAAAACATTAACTCGAAGAGGACAATATTATCACAATTATTTCATTTTTTGTCATTCATGGTGATATATTGTTACTTAACGACTACACTGGGACAAACCCAATGGGGATCTGGTAGAATACACCCCAGGAATGTAAGGGATGGCTAACCTGGAACAGTGTGATAGTGGGTCATCGTGACCTTATCGGGTAGATGTGCTCATGCTTTCACTCTCTGTGATTTCGTCAGTTTCAAACCTCGGTTAGGTACAGACAGCTGTGATGTATATATGTAACCGTATATAGCTTGCTGCAATAAGATTGTTTTACAATTTTCCTTTTGTTCAATGGGCTTGTACTGTTTTACGACATATGTAAAAAATTCGTCTTGGATAAATGACTTGCCCATGTTCCACTACAGGAAAACCCTCCTTGACAACTTCTACAATCAGTCTTTGTTGACACATGTTTTTCTCATCTACTCTGCACCTGTGTTTAGTGTCTTCTTGGACCTCCTTTATGACTTCATGAGCATTTGGCTCATTGAGAATTTTTGCCTTCGTGTGACAGGGGCGGTGGGGTAGCCTAGTGGTTAAAGCATTGGCTCGTCACGCCGAAGACCCGAATCCCCACATGGGTACATTGTGTGAAGCCCATTTCTGGTGTCCCCCGCCGTGATGTTGCTGGAATATTGCTAAAAGCGGTGTAAAACCAAACTCAGTCAGTCAGTCAGTCTTGTGCGACAGGTTTCTTCCGCATTACTATATCCTGGTGTAAGGTCACAGTTCAAATCACCCATTTTATGTCTGTTTTAATACATAATAAACATGTTTAGAATTTAGACAACACTTTCAGAGGACACATGGTTGGTTAGAAAGCATCTGTGTTTTAAAGTGGATGTCAAAATAACGCATATGTGGCTGAAGTGATCTCCAAACGTTTTATACCAGTATATATCTTATGCCAGTGTTGTCCATAATCCTTTTTACAGCGTACATCGTGAACGATGTTTATTGGTCTAAGAGTTATCCGAGGACCTGATTGGTCAAACAGCGAATGCGATGGAGGTGAAGGTCACGTTGGTACGGTGGCGACGTTAGAGGGCGCTGGTGCTGTTGACGTTATCTGGGACAGTGGTCAGAGAAGCACGTGCAAGGCGGGCAAGGATGGTCAGCATGAACTGAGAGTATTTGACAGTGCTACTGTAGGTAAGTGCGCCCCTGTGTATAATTATACTGCAGATCTATACTGCATGCTGGAAGAATATTCAGGCTTATATAAATATAAAATTAATTTTTGAAAAAATCATTAGTCATCATTCAGCATTTTGAAAGAGATTATGCTTGTTCATACAGTGTCTATTATATATATTGCCAGGCATACGTCACAAGGGTGTCACGTGTTGTGGGTGTGACACCAAGGACTTCTTCGGAACGAAATGGACGTGCAGTCAGTGCAAGGACGCCAACCTGTGCTTCCTCTGCTACTCCGCGGATAAACATGACCTCAGTCACGTGTTTGTGCGTCATGACTCCCCCGGGGAAAAAGGGTAAGGCAAGGGAGATAACTCTTCTGTCGGGTGTATAGTCGCGTCTTCCTATCTAATAAATTATGCTTAACAATTTTTTCGACGAATGAAACGCAAGGAAGTCTTAAATGGCTTAAATGGCATCACCTTTGACAATTGCTTGTTCATACATGATGACAACACAACTCCCTGACCAAAAGATGGTTTGTTTATTGGTAGTTTAACGCCACATTCTCAGCAATTTTCCAGTTACGGGGATCTGAGTGAGTGAGTGGGTTTAGTTTTACGCCGCACTCAACAATATTCCAGCTATATGGCGGCGATCTGTAAATAATCGAATCTGGACCAGACAATCCAGTGATTAACAGTATAGCATCGATCTGCGTAATTGGGAACCGATGACATGTGTCAACCAAGTCAGCGAGCCTGACCATCCGATCCTGTTAGTCGCCTCTTACGACAAGCACGGGTTACTGAAGGCACATTCTAAGCCGGACCTTCACGGGTAACAGGGATCTGAAAACAATCGCCAAAGGGATTCGATAACTTGCATAATATCAGCCAAGTCAGCGAGACTGACCACCCGATCCTCCTAGCAGCCTCTTACGACAAGCGGTGTTGCTGAAGACAAACACTGACTATCACGGGTAGGCCAATAGATGTCCCCAGGTAGGCCGTAGACTACAGATAGGTATAAGATATCAACATTTAACTACCACTTCAGAACTCAGGTCAAGAAACGCTCCGGATGTCTGAAGGTCAGATCTCTTGGACTCTTCCCAGGAGCTCGAGTTGCTCGGGGAGAGGACTGGAAGTGGGATCAACAAGACGGTAGGTCAAGGCCATATCAGATTAAGGGTAAAGGGGGGTGGCTAGTAGTTAAATGGTTAAAGCGTACGCTCGTCCCTTTGCAGACCAGGGTTGGATTAGCACTTGGGTACAATGTGTAAAGTCCATTCTGGTGTCACCCGCGTTGGTACCACCGGAATATTGGTAAATGTGATGTGAAACCACATTCAATCACTCACTCGTGACCTTAAAATTGTTTGCTGCAGGAAAAAAAAAGAAATGACGACATAGTTTGACGTATGTTTTAATAGTCGTGTAGGACGTTCTATAAAGGATCAAGTGTCAGTACCGCCTTCTCTGCAGGCGGGTCAGGGAGCAAGGGGAAGATAACCGAAATCCCACAAGAACACAGCGTGACCACCATCAGGAACATCGCGAAGGTCAAGTGGGATAACGGCCGCTCCAACATCTACAGAGTCGGCCACGAGGGAAAGGTGGACATCAAGTACATAGAGGAGGGGATCGGACCGTCCTACTACAGGGACAACATGGCAGTGTTGGGTACATACATGTAACGCTACATCAATAATAACACAAACAAATCCGATCTTACGCAAACACTCTTTCATCCCAACACTACTCGTTGTGAAAATTATCGTTCATATAAACCACTGCCCAAACCATTCGCAACCCAACTCTCACTATGTCAGTCAGATCGTGCGTGCGTACGACAAACGTATAACAAGTGATTCCGTAGCATTTATTGGCTAAACAAGCCTTTTGGGTGTGTGTGTGTGTGTGTGTGTGTGTGTGTGTGTGTGTGTGTGTGTGTGTGTGTGTGTGTGTGTGTGTGTGTGTGTTATGTTTCCATAAACCAAAACATATAATGACTTCGTCCCGCTAAAGGACTGTTTCCTGAGAATAGAATAGGAGTTGCATCATGGCGTTGAACAATGTCACTGTTAACTTCTTTGAGAGGCATTTTAGAAGTTGTATAGATGAAGGAAAACCAGTTCTATGGATAGTCAACTTCTTTATTGCAATGAGTGCGACGTTTCGGTGTATCAAGCAAGTGATGTTAGTACCTACACCGAAACGTCACACTCATTGCAATAAAGAAGTTGACTATCCATAGAACTGGCTTTCCTTCAATGTCACCGTTGCCTACAATTGTTTTGTGGTAATGATTACATATTCAGTGTGAGAAGTTGTTATTGGTGACGTATTTCTTCCAAAGAACTGAGTTCAGTATGTTTTTGCGGTATAACGAGGCAGCTCGTCCTTACATGTCTCCTTGGCTTTACACCCAAACGTATATTCACATAAGCCCCTTTACTAGGGCTGCGCAATATAACCGGTTTACCGGTATTTACCGGTTCACACATGAAAACGATACGTATTGCGATACGCTGATCGAAAACCGGTATTTTGACTTGCATTCGGAAAACCTTCGTAACACTCGGTAATCTTGATGATTGTGGAAATTGTGGTAAGGCTGGTGGGAATGATCGTGGTGAAAATTACATTTAACTGGATTGTTAAGTTCTTTTCCTTGTTTCATTTGTGACAAATATTATTTACATTTTTACTTTGTCATAATAAAATGTTTTTATTAAGGTGAATCAAGCAAAGTGATTTTGTTGTGGTTTTGCTTTATAAATCAAACATTAACTCGATTATAAGTAGTTTTATGTTAATAAAAACATCTTGGAGTATATTGCAATACACATCGCAATACAGGCTTTTGCATCGCAATATATCGCAATATGAAAATTCTCTGCAATACCAACCCCTACCCTTTACGCTCATCTGTACACCACATATAATCACTTTTATGAAAGAACTAATTAGTAAGTCACTGTGTGATTTAAGAAAACACAATGGATTAAATATTAATGAATGCGTTGATCTAAGATCTAAGGATGCATTTTACGAAAAATGAGCTCCATCCGCTACACAAGTAAATCGTCTGCCTGGGCGCTAATGAAAAACGAAATGGGAAAAAATATATTAATGAAATTCTGTCTTCCCAACAGTGACAGAAAAACAAACCAGCACATCATCAACACGATGTACCCTTTTTCAGACGTGAGCAGTGTACGGAGGGACAGCGTGGACAGTGCGAGACTAGAAGCCGGATGTAAAGTCTGTGTCCAGGTGGACAAGGACGGGCTCAAGCAGATCCAGGCGACCAAAGGAGGGTGGTCAGCAGGCATGTCACAGGTACAGGTCGGGTAGCTCACGCCCAGGTGGTGTAGTGGACAGAACACCTGTCCGGACAGTGGACGGTCGTGTCATACCAAAGGACACCCGTGTAGATCAGGGTTAGAACTGATCTTCATCAACCCATGCTTGTCGTAAGAGGTGACTAACGGGATCGGGTGGTCAGGCTCGCTGACTTGGTTGACACATGTCATCATATTCCAGTTGTGTAGATCCATGCTCCTGATGTTGATAACAGGATTATCGGGTCGAGACTCGATTATGTACAGACCATCGCCATATAGCTGGACTATTGCGGCGTTAAACAACAAACGAAAACATACAAAATTAAGTTAGACCATGTTACTTGCTACCATGCCTGGAGCTCGGAATTATAGAGATGGGCATGGGATCTCAGTTGCCAAAAAAAATAAAAAATGCTTTAGCCCGGAAAAGTACAAGTGGTCACACGTCCGCATACACACACACACACACACTAGTGTTGGGAATTGGTTAAAATATCATAATTGATGATTGCTTCATTGCAACCGATCAGTCATCGAAAATAATTGGTTAGCGTCATTTATGAAATTTTCCTGGTTATTTTTGTTAATGCACAAAAACATAAAGAATAAACATGTAGTTCTTGGGAGTTTATTTGGGCAAATTTCACATCTAAAAGATGACTAGTATGTTAGGAACATAAATTTCTTGGGGTCTTTACGATAAATTCAATCATGACTTGGAACGAGCTTGTAGTGCTCAGGAAATGTAACTGACAAAACCAACCTTGTGAAAAACATTGTTAATGCAAAAAGTGTTCCAGAATTGTTTGTGTTCGATTATGAGAAAACATGATCGATTGCTTGGTCGTTTAGTCACTGCGACCAATCTTCGATTATTTCAATTAATCGGACCACCACTAACACGCACTGCTTTCGTACATTAACCTCAAACCCATTTCACCAGGTGCCATCCATGGTATCGGTCTCACACAACTAGGTATCTAATGCGACCACTCTGGGCTGATGCCTATAATTATCTAACAGGATCCCGTGAGGATCCCGAGCTTGAACTGGACCTCCTCAACCTATTCTGGTCGCGAGGGGCGGTGGGGTAGCCTAGTGGTTAAAGCTTTGGCTCGTCACGCCGAAGACCCGGGTTCGATTCCCCACATGGGCACAATGTGTTAAGCCGATTTCTGGTGTCCCCCGCCGTGATATTGCTGGAATATTGCTAAAAGCGGCGTAAAACTAAACTCAGTCAATCAGTCTGGTCGGGAGAGGCAACGTAATCCAAACGGAGGTCAAACACGGTGACTCAGTTTGGTTGCATTATAGGGCGTGGATTGTTGCTCATCATTTCAATCACCGAATTATCTCCCCTGGCTCGACATTTAAATTCATATGAATTAAATACTAATTAGATCATCTCTAGCAACAAAAACAGATATGACAGTTGAACTGTTAATGACTCTCGAGGGAGGAAGGAGGAAATCATTGCTTGAATGTTTGTTTCAGTGTATTGGGAAAATCGGCATTATCAAAGATATTCCCAGTCAGGGCATGGCTAGTGTTGAGTTCGGGAGCAGCAAGTACCGGATAGCTACAGAGGCACTCATAAAGGTACCGAGACCAGTTTATCTCTCCATTCCCAACAGCATTTGAAACTGAATCTGTGGACATTATCGGTCACTATGACAATGTTCTCTGCACCTGCTTTGTGAATTTTATTATTATTTTCAACTCAACTAAGATTGCTAAGCGAAAGGAAGCAAGCACCTATGTTTGAAGATGTCAATAAATGACACAAACAAGATATGGCAAGTCTATGTTGATGTACATGGTTGTGTTGTGGATAATAAGTTTATACTTTCTTTTGCCAAGAACAGTGTATGACATGTAGTATGCAATATTAATTTTTTTATGAAAAACGGAAGTGTTCGGATTAAAGCGGCCTGACTGTATTGATAATATTGTAATATAGTAAGGAAATGTAATGCCAACAGTGTACCAGCAATATACACCTGATAAGAACACGAAAGCCATTCATCAAATTTCAATTGCAAAGTACGACAATGTTGGCGATGAAATAACCTAGTGGCTATTGTATTTCGCTCGTCATGCCGAAGTCCCGGGTTCAATTCCACACCTGGGTAACATGTGTGATAATCCTGGGGTACACGCTGTGATATGATATAACTATTGGAGGCGTACATCCACACTGACTCTCGATAGGGGCTCTGGGTGAATTGTGTGTACACTGCAGGTGCACGACCACACGCTGAACACCGTGGTGCGGGTACTGGGGGACAGGAAGAAGGTGCAACAGCTCCAGGAGGGGCATGGCGAGTGGAGATCCAGGATGGAGCAGGTGAGGCACCTCATTACTTCCGCCTCCGTGATGATGTCACAGTGCCATCTGTGCCATGGAACCATGGTTGAAGAAATGAGGAAACACATCCATATGAAATGCTAATTCATTTTGAAAAAGTTTGTCACATCCTTCGCTTAGAAAAACAACAACAACGTTTTACGAGAAAATGAAAATGTACCTTATATTATGAACATTCTCAACGATCTTCTTGAAATAGCTCCACATAACTGAAAGGTTACTGAGTCGGCATAAAATGTTATTCCACGTAAGTGAAATATCAATTTAGTACACATATATGAAAGCCGTTCTAAGTGTACCACCTTCATTTTCAAGAAGCAATATCAGGCCTAAGGTCTGTGTTGAAGTGTACGACCGTCAAAACCATAAGTCGATTTGCCAGACTGGGCCAGTACAAGACTATATTGGATGTGTTTTGCCAGGTCTTGGGGAAGGTGGGACGAGTTGTGAGAGTGGACAGTGACGGCGACATCGTGGTGTCCTTTGGCTCCACCAAGTGGATCTTTAACCCTGCATGCCTTGTCCCCGCCCCCGGGGAAAGGGTGGACGATGTGGAAGCAGGGGGAAGGGAAACTGCTGGACTTGGAGGTGGGTGGAACTTCATATATAAAAGCGATAAACAAAATTCCGCAATCGTTTATGGTTTTATGCATAAATATGTTGACATACAGAAGTCGTCCATTTCAAACACATAGTCTGTCAAATCATTGATATCTTATTCTCTGTTTAAAGAAAATATATTTCAAGTGCTGATTTCTTATGTAGAAAATAGACAGCTAGATTTGTCTGTTTTATGATGCAGGCTTCTGTTGATGAAACTGATGAAGTTTTTCCGCAGTCATTCGCACAATGACTACGGAAAAAATTATCTAGACTATCTAGATCAGAGGGTACATTTCTGTGGAGTAACATTATTAGAAATAGCAAAAATAAAGTCCATTAAACAACGATTTTATTTCATTTTCGTATTGAGACTGCGATTCATGCAGACAAAACATATCGTTATCGCCTTGAACTACCGAGAGTTTCTGTATTCGCTGAGTTGTGTGCAGGTTTAGGAGGACCCCTGATGCAGCTCCTGGCCGGACTCCTGGATAAACAGATGATGGGGATGATGGCTGCTGCCATGGCCGCTCGAGCTGCTGCACCAGGGGCAAACTCGGGTGACCTCTTCAAGGCCATCCTGGCTGGGGACAAAGAGGCAGTCAAATCCATCGTCAAAGCCAACCCCAAAATGGTGAATATTTTGGAGACGACCGTTTAATTTTCGTTAGATCGCGAAGAAAATTTCACACACAGTTCGATTTTCTATCTATGTTTGGGGAACCCAGAGAAAGCACAGAATCATTCATAATCTTAAGTACTGATCTTTTCCTTCAATTTTGTGTTGTTTGGAATAGTGGCTGGAAATGCATTACAGACAAAAGATAACGATCACAGAAAGGTCTTCTGAGCTCCACTCCTCATCCAGACTCCAGATGGGTTGTAACTCTGCATTTTCACCCATTCACTCACTATCTGATGTAGGCTACAGAGCCGATCAAAGACCTGACTCCACTGATGATAGCATCGCACGAAGGGCAGGTAGACATTGTTCGAATCCTTCTCGACAGCGGGGTTGACATGGAGGCCAAAGGTAAAAAGGGTGTCACGGCCATTGCAACAGCTATAATAGGGTAAGCCAGTGATTTGTGCTGTGTTCTTGGTTCTTAATTCTCGACTATCCACTATGTTACAAACCCATGTAATTGGTATCATGGGCCCAGGGATAAGCTCTAAAATGCTGTTTAATGTTAGTAGTTCTGAGTAGCCACGGACAATTTATAATATGTTAATGATAGGAGGGACGCAAGCGTCACTTCTGAAACGAAGCTATGATGGCGAAGGGGTCCTGGGTGTCTATCTTAGAACAAGCCAAAAATGTGAGCAGGCCTCACTAATACCCCCGATCGTGACTCAGCTGAACAACACTAAACACATGTTGACACCGCTTTAGACACTTGACACCGCTTTAGACACATGTTGACACAGCTTTAGACACATGTTGACACCGCTTCAGACACATGTTGACACCGCTTTAGACACTTGACACCGCTTTAGACACTTGACACCGCTTTAGACACATGTTGACACCGCTTTAGACACATTATGACACCGTTTAAGACACATGTTGACACCGCTTTAGACACATGTTGATACCGCTTTAGACACATGTTGACACTGCTCTAGACACATGTTGACACCGTTTTAGACACATGTTGACACCGCTTTAGACACATGTTGACACCGTTTAAGACACATGTTGACACCGCTTTTGACACCGTTTTAGACACATGTTGACACCGTTTTAGACACATGTTGACACCGCTTTAGACACATTATGACACCGTTTTAGACACATGTTGACACTGCTTTAGACACGCGTTGACACCGCTTTAGACACGTGTTGACACCGCTTTAGACACATGTTGACACCGCTTTAGACACATGTTGACACCGCTTTAGACACATGTTGACACCGCTTTAGACACATGTTTCAAATTCAGACCTGCTAAAAAATACATAAAAATATCCTGCCATCACGAAGCACGGAATGGCCGTCGCCCGAAACAAAACTGGTTCAAATTGGCATCCCTGTGTGGAAGCTCTATGGCTTTAGGAATATCGAGTGCGTTAAGAGTTAATCACGTTAAATACGTGAATAAAAAGAGCTGAAACAGAAGAATAAATGCAGATACTCCCAAAAAGTAAAATAACAAATAAATGGTCTGTGATACTTTTTCACAAAAGCACATGTTGAATTCCAGAATTACATTCGCATTGACTTTTTATACATTCACACTGCTCATGCATTCAGCTTCCAAGCCAAACGAAAATCTGCCCTCGATCACTCACTGCTAGTTCGTCACAGACCCTGCTTATATTAAAGATCGTGGGTAAACCTTTGTCACAGAACCATTCCGTAGCAAAACAGTGATGGGTGATCTGGGCTCACTTGCACAAAGCGATCTTAGCGCTACGGCTATCTTAAGCCTATGTTGTGGAATGGGAGTTACAATCATTGTAGCACTAAGATCGCTTTGTGCTAGTGAGCCCAGGACTTGATCTTCCTTGGTAGATTTAGGTTATAAAGTATTTAACAGTTTACATAAAGCTGTCAAATAAACCTTTTCCTCACACAGTACTATTATCCATGATAACAAGTGACTAGCTTTGTTGTTTGCTTATGTAAATGTATTATAATTAGTACCATGTTATTTCCTTATGTGTAGAATGTGCCAGTTCAGTGTTGCCCTTGAAAAGAGTAATATACATTTGGCAATTGTCAGAGGACAAATCATGAACCATGTCTTTACATAAAATATGACGGAATAAACCACATTCCCTGACAGTGGCAAGGAAGTGGTTGCTCAGCTGTTGATTGAGAGGGGTGCCGACATTCACATGACCCTGAACGATGGACAGACAACTCTTCACTTGGCTGTACACAAGAACCTGTCGAAGACCCTCAAGCTACTGATCCAGAAGGGAGCGGATGTTAATTCTGTGGTGAAGTGTTTCTAGTTTTCTCTTACATGTGCAAAATCAGTATTGTGGTCTTTGTAAAGACCATACTCGATACAATTTTGCTAATGGTTAGAAGATGTCTTTGAATGTCAATTAGAAGTGATTCACATAACAAGAACAATTGATGGATGTCAAAGTCTTTATTATAGGAACACAACATTTCGCAGTATTGCTTCATCTTACCTCAAGAATGAGTACGAATATAACCGAAAGGTTATCTTCCATGTAAGGGCGGTGGGGTAGCCTAGTAGTTAAAGCATTCGCTCGTCACACCGAAGGCCCGGGTTCGAATCCCCACATGGGTACAATGTGTGAAGCCCATTACTGGTGTCCCCCGCCGTGATGTTGCTGGGATATTGCTAAAAGCGGCGTAAAATCAAACTCAGTCAGTCAGCCAGTCAGTCTTCCATGTAATATTTATAACCTTTTCCTGTTATGGTTAAAATAATGACTTTTTGTAAATGTCTAGCATGGACAACAGTCTTGTTCGAATATTGCAGGACATTGCACAATCTGTTTACTGGCAATTAAAATGATTGACAAGAAAGATTTAAACTGACACCTCGATTCCTGCGAAATATGCTCCTTTTCGTCCTTATGTACATAATGAACAGTACCCGTGAATGTTCTGTTCAGAATTGATCTTCAGCAGCATGATGCTATCGACAGCTTGTCGTAAGATGCGACTACATGAATCATGTGGTCAAGATGGCTGACTTGGTTTACACATGTCATCGTTTCCCAATTGCGTAAATCGATGATGATGATGTTGATCACTGACTTGTCTGGTCCAAACTCGATTATTTACAGACGTATGGCTAGAACATTGCTGAATGCGACGTTAAACAACAAACAAGCAAAAACAACATAACTTGTAACATCTAAGACTCTATCCTTTTACTAAACCGAGTTTAACTACTCATCTAAGAGTGTTCTTCTTGAACAGGATGGATCGATGGACACGCCGCTGCATGATGCTATCGAGGTCAGGAGCAATGACTGTGTAGAGGTTCTCCTGGGCAGCAGAAACATCAACCTTCGGCTGTGCAACAAAAGGAGCTTCAACCATCTTCATCTGGCCTGTCTGAGAGGCAATGTGTTGTAAGGCGTCAGTTTTAGCAACCAACATTCCATTGAACATGTTCTGATGAACAGTGCTTTCATCTATAATTACATAAGGACTATTTTCTTTGCTGTTGAACGCCGCATTCTGCAATGACGATTGTTCTGATAAAACTGTATGTTCAATTATAATCTACAACGGTTTCTGTTGTCGCTGTGCAGATGTGGCTTTGAAGAAGCCCATTCCATTCAGTAAAATACATGTATATGATCTGTTTAATCTGGTTTACGAAGCAGTAAGACTGTATGTATCCCAGCCTTCGTTTCGTATTCTGGTATGACGGTTTGTTATTATGAAGGCCACTCACCCCATCCTGTACCAGCATGATAAACACCGTAGATCCATTCGCAACCACAGCTTAGTTTTGGAAATGACGTCACCATATTCATTTCGCCAATCACAACCGTAATAAGCTCAGGATGTCTCTTGCTCATAATTGTACTCTAATTGGACGACTATGCTAGCAGCGAGCGTTTCTAATCTGGCTCAAAACGAGTTTATTTGCTAATGGGTCTGTGACAAATGGGTCGATGGTATTCATCATTATAGAATAACAATTCATTGGGTATTAAAAGACGTACTTGTTATGGTGAAACGTGCCAACTATGATTAGTTGGTTTTATTGACTGGGTTGAACAGTTTGAAGCTCTGCGACATCAGTCTCTTTCATCATTAGATTTTCTATGATAGTGCTGTAGAGAAGCTCCTGGAGCGAGACCAATCCCTGGTGGACCTGCTCATGGCCGGTGATGGCTACTGTGCCCTACACATCACTGCAGCCAACGACCATGTCGAGTGTGCCAGACTCCTTATCGACAAAGTGAGTCATCTAACTTCTCTTAAAGTAGTGTTATCCTCTGAGAAAATGAAGAGTCTATGTGAGCTTGACTTACTGCCGCTTTGAACAGTATTCCCGTTAGATCACGGCTTGTCTGCATCATGTCGAAGCGCAGACCTGTAGACTGACTGACTGACTGAGTTTGGTTTTACGCCGCTTTTAGCAATATTCCAGCAACATCACGGCGGGGGACACCAGAAATGGGCTTCACTCATTGTGTTCATGTGGGGATTCGGACCCGGGTCTTCGGCGTGACGAGCCAACGCTTTAACCACTAGGCTACCCCACCGCCCCTCAGAGATGTGTTTAGCTGACAAACCTAGGAAAGGGGAGAATCTGGGATTTGAACTCACGATCATCGAATGCTGACAGAAAGACAGACACTAGCAATAGACACTTGCACATCAGGAATTGGAAAACAATTGAGAAGCACTGTGAGACAGATCCTGACTGACATGCCACAAAGACTCCATTCAGCATTTTATAGACGATAAACCAAAGTAATTATCTGTGAAAATACATAGAAAGCTGGTATCATCAGTATTTGATAACATTCATCCTATATTGGAATGACATGTATGGTATATTAATGTCCAGGGCAAAGCGGATGTGAACAGGAAGGGGCAGAAGGGAGACACTCCGTTACACACGGCAGTCATCAAACCGAACTACCGTGTAACGGAACTACTGCTGGATAAAAGTGAGTGTTGTTTCACGCCGCCCCCACCACAGTTACGGGTTTACCAGCGACTTGTATATCAGTCTGATCCGACAATCAAGGATATCCGACAATCGGTGATATTATGAACAACTACTTTTGAGCAAGTTGACTCGCGTTGAGCCAATTTCTCGCTTTGAGCCAGTTTACCGACCGACTCTTATAACGAGTATGAGCTACTGTCGCTGTTATCATCTTCAATACATGGAGTACTGCAGCTGAAAAATCAAATAGCAAAATACCTTTGTTATTGATTTCTATTGGTCCTACCTGTTCCAGGTGCCGATGTGAACAGTACCAACGACAAAGGCGACACGCCGCTCCATATCCTTTTCGTTCACAGTTCGAGGAAGAAGAAAGAAGCAGTGAGATCTTTGATATTTTAGGTCATGTAAGGTTAGGTTAAACCAGACATGATGGTACCCTGACATATTTGAGTTGGTAGTAGCACAGTGTGAACATGATCCATCAAGCAATTATATGTCGGTCCTATCCTCACTCAAAAATATGGACAGCATGGTTCAGAAACTGGTTCGAACAGTGTGCAAAACAAAATGGTTTGGTGTAAATTGAAGGTCACCACTATAAACTCCCATGCACTTCTCAAACCTTTTGGTCAAGCTTACTTAAATTTCTGTGCTGGACCTTTGATCTGACATTTTGACGTCATGTGTATGCCTCCTGGGAACCCACATAGTTCAGTTATTGACACGAATACATCATCATCACCGGCCTTGTGTCAAGGCCATGCCAGATGTCAGGGTCACTCGACAATTAAAGACTGTTTACACTATGGTACAGAGACTTCCCATTCCAGAGACCACATACTCTTGCACAAGAGATATTTTCATGAAAGTTCACTTGAAGGTGAAAGTCAGTAGACCGGAAATAACCGACTGTTTTTTAGACTTAACATCTTTTGGTGAGGTCAACGGTATCACGATTGCTGAAGTCAAAATAGTTCATCATGCACTTCTGGTGTCTATATGTTACAAAAAAAATTAATTCATGAATATGTTGTGATGGGTTTCTTATACAAATATAACAAATATACTTCTCTCTCCGTCGGCAACATTTGTAAAGTATTTAAGGATATTGATTTTAGAATATTGTCTCAACCCTTATGAATGAAACTGATTCCGTTATTTCTGATGTAGTAATGTATTTTCGTTTAGGGATAAAGATTGTTTTTGCTACCAATACTGTTGTGTTTGTCCAGGGAGAGGCGTCGCTGTCTCCACGTGATGTTGAAACGTACGTGAAGGTTGCCGAACTACTCCTGAAGCACCAGGCTGCCTACAACCGCAAGAACAACATAGGCGCTGCTCCGCTCCAGTTGTGTAGCAGCGAGAGGATAAAGCTCATCGTCAAAAATTTCATACAGAAAAAGTAAATTTAAATTTACATTGTATTTGTGATTGTTGTACCAAACATGTTGAAACCTACATCATGAAATTGCAACAACAAACGTTCTCGATTTACCTTCCAGGCTCCGTCAATGCTGATGTCACAAGACATTTCATTGGTTCATTTATTCGGACTTGGCTGATTGACATCCAAAGTGTCTCTAAACATATTTTCCAGATTTGACATCTAAAGTTGTTAAAGTAAAGAACATGCCATTTGCCTCTAGAAAGATCACTCTGCGTGAATACACTACATCTATATTTGGTTCCAAGACAGACTGTGTGTTTCAGTCAAGCGTCCCTGAATGCTGGATCAGGAAGCTCCCCACAGCAACCACAGGGGAAAGCAGATGGCCAGAACGCTATGTCTACCCTGAAAATGGCCCTGCCCTGCTGTAGATGCTTCAGCGCCATCTCGGACATCACCCTGAAGCCGTGCAACCACAAAGTCCTTTGTCGGTCCTGCTGCACCAAAACCAACCAGTGCCCCATGTGTAATACCGCCATCCAGCAGAGAGAGGGTAAGACCCATCCATCATGTCATCTCACGCAGTGCATTGGTGCTGTGAGGTGAGGTGAAATTGGGTTTTACGTCGTGCTTGAGAATATTTCGCTCATATGACGACGTGCATGCGTGTGTATGTGTATGTGCGGCTGCTTGTACTAGCCCAGACTTAAGCTGGTTTTATAGTGCTAGCCCACTGAGATACCATGTCGCAGTGAAGCATGAATACCCCACTCAGACACAGTATACTGACTCCGAGCCGACCAGTCCTTGTTGTACCCATTAATGCCGAGCACCAGGCAGTGACCAACAAGTACCATATTTTAACGTCTTTTGGTATGACGCTGTCGGGGATCGAACCCGCGACCTTCCGCTCTCCGGGCGGACGCTCTAACCACTACACCATGGAGGCGGTTACATTGGTGCGAGTATGTAAGTGAATCAGTGTATGCGTGTGTGTGTGGTGCCTGGGAGTTCGTAAAAGTGTGAGAGAATGTGTCATTATTTGATTGTGTGTGTGTGTGTGTGTGTGTGTGTGTGAGTGAGTGAGAGAGAGAGAGAGAGTGTGAGTGAGTGCATTATAAATTGAGTTATAATGTGTCTACCGTTTAAAAAAGCAGGTATGATAAGAACTGAGAAAATGTATATAAGAGAGTAAAGCAATTTGTTTACACACGTATGGGCACTCTATTTTTGGCTGCATATCATATTTTCCAGCCCCAGTTTCTACAGGTAACTGTATACCCGCCCCAACCCCGTATCAGACAAAACACCTCCCAAACACCCACCCCGCACACTGAGCTGCACACTGCATATACTGTTAACCAACCATCTCTTGAAGGCGACAGGTACATAGAAGTCTTTTACAGGCACCCGTAAAGATCCGGGTTAGAATGAGCCTTCAGTAACCCATGCTTGTCGTAAGAGGCGACTAAAGGGATCGGGTGGTCAGGCTCGCTGGCTTGGTTGACACATGTCATCGGTTTCCAATTGCGCCGGTCGATGCTCATGCTGTTGATCGCTGGATTGTCTGTTCCAGACTCGATTATTTACAGACCGCCGCCATATCGATGGAATATTTCTGAGTGCGGCGTAAAACTAATCTCACGCACTCACTCACTTTGATAGGCATTTAGAAGTTTGAACATGACTGCATGATATACCAATGGATACCAACTGATATACTCCCGGTAAAGGCTTTCAGGACGTCTTATTTCCCATTCACCAGATCAATACTGATCATATCTGAGTTACAAGATCAACAATATAAATGGAGATGCACAATTCCCAACACCGAATCGTCAAGTTATTCCTGTCAGCTATTTCAGCATCGCTTGTTTCACGGTCACGCTATTGCACATGCTGCAGTGATAAATATGGTCACAGGAATCAATGTAATCAGGTGTCCGACCTGTCTTCAGTGTGTCAGTAACAGCTTAACAGTTGCATTTGTGTATTTTTGTTACATTCATGGATATATTTAAAACTCAGTTTGAAACGGTTACCTTATGTATTGACGCGTATTAATACGAGACGTATTAATATATATAGGTTCCTCTACATCATCGCTCTGTGTTGCAAAGTTTTACCTGTTTTCATATGCGTTAACACAAATACGTGCGTTATCGACTGTTTTTACAGGTGTGATGAATTATAGATTGTTTTAGAACGGTGGTTAAGTAAGCCTGTCATTTTCAATAACACCATCAATCTTGTCTTTCAGTGGCATTTAGAAGTTGCACATTGATGTTCAAGATTTATTTTTTTTTGATGTACAAGAAACACTTCAGCGCGACTTAGAGCTTGTGATGAGTTAAGACATGGTAGGTCAGGGCTATATTTTGATGGAGAGGCATGTTGAATACATCGGTGACCAATGCTACAGTTGTTTATTATCTATTCTGAACGTCATCCTGACGAAAATATTTTCATTTCAGCTGAAATGGACCCCGCTGAATTGTGCAAAATGCAGTGATCCCCCCAAGTAGTCTGTGACGTAACAGTGTTTGAAGATGAAGACGTTTTCATATTTTGTAATTTCACACTTAGAGTTATTCGCCAGTATGTGTTGTTTTTGATACCTGGACACAATGGGTTGTCTGCAATTGTCATTTGAAACTGATATTAGATATGCAAAACCTGGAGTTTTTGTATCGTGAGCTTTATCTGAGATGATTTTCGTATCAGTTTAGACGTTATTACTTTTTCGAAACTTTAAAACCTTCAACTGTTGTATTCTAGAGACATTTACAAGAGAGATGTATATAACACTCGTGTTAAGGTCATCGTGTCTGACTAGTTTGGATGTGAAGAATAGCACACACCAACTGGATTGATAGGGACGCCAGATCTCCTCTGTCACCATGAAACTAGAGGACTACGTACAAACAACCATTGTAATGGCTGTCACAGACATCACCAGAGAAGTCTTGATGAAGAGGGATATAAACTAATCCGTGAAATATTATATTTTGTTTTATGTGTCACTCACAAATAATGTGTACATTTTCTTTATATTGATGATATTAAATGGGCAATATCACAATATATGTAATGTGGATTAAATGTTAATGAATCAATGTTTTCTGTTTGACTGTTTGGTCAACTAATATAGGTAATAGTTTAGGGACTACATAGTCAGCTATGTAGTTTGTTGTCTATCTAAGTGCGGGGACATCTGAATGATGGAAGGATTAATTATTTATGATTAATTACCATTGGAAATCCAATACAGTTTATTAAGAGCAATTGGTTTCAATGCGAATGGTCGATGGAACACAAGACGTGTGGTTAAGCATAAACGTTTTTATACATTCATTGTTATTAAAAGGCAATGTAAGGCAACATTGGCCCTATCTATTCTGACGTGCCCTTGTTACTCTTGGTGGCTCCACTGTCCTATTTGGTATGTTCATAAATACATTTCAAGGAATGGAACAAAGGACGAATAACCGTGGGAGAAAGCTAGGATGCTTGTCATGCAGACTGCAGAGAGGGTAGTGGTCTTGTGGAGAGATAATGAAGACCATACTACTGTATGAAACCACTGTGCAACACATTAATAAAACAAGATGAAATAAGCGATAGCCTTGTACTATAATATATAGATGCACAAAGAACTTAGTTAAGCACCTCCTGACATATCTCACGATTGAATGAGCCCCGATCTTAACCCTTTGGAGCATATCTGGGACATGATTTGTCATCGTGTGCAACAAAGGGATCCTCCTGTACAGAACCTGGCCCAATTGGAAGCTGCTGTACACGAGGAATGGCGTTGACTGTCCCTTCAGAGGATCAGGAGGCTGACAGGGGGTATGAGGAGGATAGTGCTGGCTGTCATACAGTCACATGGAGTTTACACTCAGTATTGACCTTGAATCGTATAAGACATGCAAAATGGCATTTTTAATGTTCACATTCACCAATAAATTCAACATTAAACATTCCAGGGCCATACTTGTACAGACATGGTTTTGTATGAAAATCTGTGAGTTTTGTTTAAATGAGCAATTATCATAATAAAATCAACATGGGTTCCAATCATTTTGTCGTTTGTTATGAGTCAAAGGATCATACGGTTCAGATGTTTTTCCATCGTGGTCACGAGACGTTTTGTGTACGTGTTGAAAACATATCATTGCAAAAATACAGAGGTGCTTGATTGTTGTATGGACGCTACTTGGGGACTAAATCGTCCATTTTGAATTTATAATGAGACACCTGGACACCTGGTGTGTCTATTTTTAGATGATGAGTCTTTGTCTCAGGTCTATAGTGAGATCTATGGTGTGAACACCTGGTGTGTCTATTTTTAGACCATCAGTCATTGTCTCAGGTCTATATTTAGATCTATTGTGTGCACACCTGGTGTGTCTATATTTAGAGTATGACTCATGTTGTACATGGGTTTTCCCACAACGTATTATTTTAGACTCAGGTGGGTATATAAGCCCCACCAAACGGCCCCATGTCATACTCAGTCTCTGAAGTCATTAGTGGATATACATTCAAGTGATTTCACACATTGTGGATATACCAGAGTGCATTTCTCATTGGATTATACTGTGTGCACTGGATTACTAAACAACCTTGGATTATACTGTCTACTGGATATATATTTTCATCAGCCTCTCAACTATACATCAACAGAACATCAAGGTAAGTTACCCTTCACATTTGTGGAAACAACATCAGAACAGGGAATTGAAGCAACTTACCTCATGTGATCCATAGGAAATCCCTTAGCACAAGCTTCACACATACGTCCAAGAACAAATCGATTCACACACATATCCATTGTATCATGTATCCAGCAACACAATCACATCTATTTCCATGAATACATATATGCAGTCCAGCAGGTATATCCAATATTGAGGCAAACAGTGATGGTCAATCTAGATGTTTAGAGGGGTTGGAACAAGTAACCCATTCATGTGAAGAAACAGATTGATTCATACTGTACTCCAACAATGAATGACTCATTTGCCCACCCGTACGTCCGACCTACAGCCATTCAAAGCTATGTTTACGGGAAGGGAATCCCCTCGCCCACCCAAGCATGAAGATTAAGAAAACAAGCGCATAATGGAGTGAAAAATATATAACTTCAAATACATGTTACCGAGTGTCCATGTTAATACTTTCTTTTAATTTGCGACAGCCTCCGAATGAAGTGTGCCATGTTCATTCTACCATAACATTGCCTCTCCCTACGTTCAATGAACCGAGAAGCATGACGGCCTTCACGCCCATTGAAGAAACCAGATCATAGATCGCGTCCCCCGTCGCCATTTTGAAACCCAATGACACTATTGAAATTATAAAAAATGAAAATCGTGGAAATCATAGTTTGTGGAGAATATTAGAATCCCTGTAGAATCGCAGAATACATACAGAATATTAAAATGCCTGTAGAATGAGCAACATGTGTTATGTCAATCCAACACAGTAATATGAATAAAAATCGGTGTGTCTTACAAAGCTACATGATATACACTATTCATTCGAAAATTCTGGATGAAATATCTGGATGAAAGTATGTCACTATTGCGTGTCAGGCTACCATATTGAATGTTTAAGACTTGCACAAATAAAATGTTAGTATTTTTAACATGAATTCGAGCTCCGTACATTGGGAATGTAACACAAACTACCTGGACAATCCGACACCAAAACAACATGTCTTAATACAAACATTGTTTTTTCCTGTTTGAAATACGTACAGAAATACAAAATACATAGAATAAACACAACCTTAGCATGTATTACAAAATGTACATGATATACACTATTCGTACGAAAATCAACTAATACATTCGTTCTGTGTGCTATGTAACACCCATAACGTCGTTAAAGGCATCCAGACCATGAAAACGATGTGCTTGAAATACTGTTAGACACTGCATAGATCGACTTACCAGTCCAGAGTTAAAAAATCCACAATACATCCATCACATTTGTGTATTATAATCCATCAAGTCATAGAGTAACACGTCGCACCACCCTGTACATCTGCGGTCTCACTCAGACAAAGACCCCAATGTGCTATCACTCGAACAAAGACATTTTCGCGCGGTTTTAGGGACACACGTGTCTCAGCCTAAAAACCGGTTCTGTGTCAAACCGGTTCGCCAACGACACTTTCAAAACGGCCACATAACCAAACCGGCTACATATCCCAAACGGCTGCTCACATTTCTAAATGAAGTCTTATTGTAAGTGTATATATATGAATAATAATAATGACATACTATTTATTTGGCATGTTGCCACAATATGATTGAAAATGACACAATATTGCATAGCATGGTTCAGGATGAATATTTGTTTTATTTCAGATGGATCTCCAAACCAAAATCGATTCTTTTGATGACTCTGCCAGCTTGATGAAGTGGGCAGAAGAACATGGTCTCTCAAATGATGAGCGAGTGAGTATGAAGTCCATATGCCTGCTGTGTAGGCAGATGGAACATCAGTCGGCAGCAACAACCAAACACAACAAGATGGAGAAAATAACATCTTTAGATGGTCCCAGCTCTAACGATGTTCCCTCCTTGGAGAGTATTGATCCAACATTAAACAAAACCAATGATCGGCGACAGAAGGGTTTACCATGTTCCTTCTGTGGAAATACATTTAGGAGAATGCCTGATCTCAGAAAACACAGGATGACCTGCCCTAAACGTCCTTCTGAAACACCCTCATCAGCCAAGTTCAGTACCTCTAAACAAGCAGCTAAATTTTCTTCAGGGAAACGTTCAGGCTCTCCAGTACCAGGACCATCCCCAAAACGTATAGATAGGGGGTCTCAGCTGTCATTGAACAACTTGCCTCAGGACAGTCTCTTTCAAGGGGATGTTGATTACAATACGTATTTATCCAGTCCAGTAGGGACGGATGAATTAGATATCTATTTGGGTAGTCAACAGGGAGCTGGAAATGGAGAGGAGGTTCAACCTGCTTATGAATTTCACCTTAGAAAAGAAAGAACCTTTGCAAAACATGCGGCTGTGGAAAGGGTGTACAAAGTAAGATTTAACGATCAATGGAAGGGTCAAAATTTAAAAGATTTGCAGGATAACTTACATGCCATGTTTGACGATGTGTTGAGAGAAGCTAGAGGAAATTTACAAGATGAAGATTTGGCCCGAGTTGTGCTTCACCATCAAAATTTGCAAAATCCCATCGTGGTCCCACTCCGACCATTGCAAAATCTGAATGCCAATGTGATTCTGAGTCATATAGAAAATGTATTAAAAAGTCACAACAATTTGGCCCTGGACGATTCTTTCGATATTGATATTGGTTTTCTTGATATGCCCAAAGGAGGTGCAAGACATAACATATCCAATGTTCAAGAAAGTGTCAAACAAAAACTGTCCCTAGTAGAAATAAAAAATAAAGACAACATGTGTATGGCAAGAGCTTTAGCTGTATGCTTTGCAAAAGTTCATCAAGTGACTAAGGCTGAATGGGAGGATCTTATCAAGGTTCATCCTTTAGAGCAATGTGAGTGTCGGTATCTAGTCATGTCTACCAATGACAAGAAAAATACTCATATGGCTCATTTGGCACTGGAGCACAAGAAATGCCCGCCCAAGTTGTACACCAACTTGAAAAAGCATAACAACCATCAGACTCTCTTTGCCAAAACCATATGTGACAAAACAGGTGTGTCCAAAGAAAGAATGGCAAGCTTGACAGATATTCCCAAATTTGAAGCTGTCTTAGGATGTCAGATTTTGGTGGTCAGTGCATCACTGGGAAATAAATTCATGACTAAGGGAATCAAAGATGATAGAAAACAATTGTTTCTCTATTTAGTGGAGAACCATTTTCATGCCATCCCAAACATCAGTGGATTTTTCAGCCAAAGTTACTTTTGTGACCACTGTCTCACCCCTTTTTACGCAAAACACAAACACGAATGTGACAATTACTGTAGGGTCTGTAAGAGAAAATCGTGTAAGGCCAATGATACTGCAAGGACCTGCCCTGACTGCAACATGCAGTGCCGATCGGAAGCGTGTTTTGTGGCTCACAAACAACCCAAAAAGTCCAAAAAGGGTGACCT